CGACTTTAAGGACATCAAAGTACGGACTCTGACCGACCCTGCTTATGGCTCTAACTATGTAGCCCTGGTTTCAGATCGTTTCTTCTGGCTTGTTTGCACACTTGTGTCTCTTTTTTTTTTCCTTTTAGCATCTTTGTTAGGTACTTCTGATGAAGTGTGTAATTGTTTGTTTCCAGGAACTTTTGCAGGGCACAATTTTCGTCTACAAGTGTGCGCCACAAAAAGAAAGTGCGGAGACGTGGAAGAATGTGTTTGAAGATTTCACAAAGAGAAGATTCGTCATTTCCAGCTCAAAACTCTCTGGCGGACCGAGAGCTATATTCATGGTAAGTGGGTTTGTGATAGCAACAAATAAAAGGAGCGCGGTGCGGTGAAGGAACAGTAGCGGTGAAGGGAATTGGCTCTGTCGGTAGAGCGTTGGACTCCGCGTGGTGAGAGCACGCGTCCCGCACGTGCCATAGACCAGGAATCGGTGGGTAGAGGGCAGGGCCAAAGCAGCAAGTTCCGTTTAGTGAGGCTCTATCCTGGTAAAACCTTCCATTAAAAAAAATCGGACTAAATTCATATAAGAAAAACATCTAATTTACATCGGTTTCAGACCTCATCGATTGACTCTGCGTTTTACATGAAAATAGTTCCCAAAAGTCTTGAAGTTTCTTTATTTTTGTCGTTTGACGGTGCTATGTATCAATGTCACAGATTAAAACAAACGATACGTATGGCTTCAATGATTCTGGATCTCACTGCATTGTCTATGACTGCTGTAATTTACTTGTGTTTTTCGCATAGGTATTGACTAATGGTATTTTGTTTCAGGGAAGATATTGCTGTGTTCACCGACCCGCACCCCGGACCCGACCCAGAAAGAAGTCCCAGTTCTCCAAGCGCGACTTCGGATGTCCCACCATGCTAGTGGTGAAAATCGAAAATCCAACACGGTAGGTCATCTGATATCTCATTGTGGATTGTCAGCTATCGTTGGTGGTGTCAGTTTCCTGCTGGTTTGATTTTAGAGGTGAAATATTTAGAGGAGTAGTAGTCGAGAGTAGTAAACGAGTTAGTTGCTGGGATGTCTAAATGTGTTTTTTTTTCTGAGGGCGCGGGTTGAGCTTATCATCGATGATGTAATGTCTCATATGCGTGATACAATTATAACAACCAGTCTCTACATGTGTCTATAGTTGGACCCAGTCAGTGACTGCAACTGGTCGCCTTAACTTTACCCCTAACGGTCCTTCAACCTCTCCGCAGAACGAAGCGCTCGAAGCGGCCGCCAACCGGCGGCTACAACATGCGCATCGTCTCCAACAAGCAGGCGCACACACACTCACTGGAGCGCGCGCTGCCCTTCCGGCGGATTAGCGCCGACGCGCAGGCGGCGCTGCTGCAGCTGTTTGACGAACACCACACGCTGGCCAGCGCTATGGAGACGTACAAGCTGCGGCTGCTCGAGCAGCTCGGCGATAAGTACCTGGAGGAGGCGTCCGATCGCTCCGTGCTGCCCGACAAGAACGCCGCCTACCGGTGAGTCAGACGGGTCGGGATGGCTCTGTCGGGCCACACGGGTGGGTGACAGTCATTGGTGTGGCTTGGAACTAGTGTGTGTACCTCAGATGAATTTTGAGCAAAGTTAACCTTGTTTGTAGACATGACACGCACCTACCCAGACTTTACAGTTTTGAAATTGTTATTGTAATTGTATGTAATGTAATGTAAATTGTAATTGAAATTGAAATTGTAATTTGAAATTGTAACTACCCACCTTTCTGACCGCATCACTATTTCCCACACCACAGACTGTACTACGAGACTTATCGAAAGCGGTACGGCGACCTGACCAGAAAGCAGGTGCGGAAGCTGCAACAGGACGCTGCGAAACGACGCCAGCTCGGCCAGAAGCCGCTGAAGCACACGGCCTCTTCGGCAGCCGGCGGTTCGCTGTCGACATCAGTAGCTACATCTGCTGGCATGGTGACAGTATCGGTATCTACCTCTGTGGGTGGCCTGCCGGCAGCGCTGCCTGCGTCCGCTGCTACAGCTACCGTGGCGTCACCTACATCGGCCGCTGTAGCGACAGTGCTGCCACCTACAGCCAGTAGCGTTAAAATGCTGACTGCGGCTCCACCGGTCGCTGATGGCTTCAAAAATGTGTTTACCGGTAAGACGAAGACCAGTGGCAGCCACGAATTGGTTACTCCTAAGCCTGGAGGTGCAGGAGATGCCCCAAGAGTCCATTCACCGATTGCAGTCATCGACTGTGCCAATGGCGAAAGTGACCAAGATGACGACACTCATGACTTCATGGACACGCTTGAATTAGGTAGGTGTCGTCAAGTTGCGTACCGTCTACACTGCAGCTCCTCTTGGTAACTGATTGGTGGAAAAAATCTACTTTTTATTCAATGTTTAAGCTAAAAATATGATTGCTTATAGACCTCTCGTTTTATTGAAAAGTGATGGCAACAAGCATTATGGCGAGATTTGTTTGTAATCATGCGTAGAAAGGCGAATCGCCGTCTGCTTGTCATGGATTGAAAATTTGACGTTCTTTTATGCAATGAAATTGGTATGCATACAAAGTATACATCGCCTGTATATGCTAATTTTGTTATAACAAACTGCATTGAGTCGTGCTCCTTTTGGTTTGTCATGCACGTCGTGACCGGCTGGTTTTCCGTTTCCAGATTCCACAGACATGCCCATCAACTGGGTGACTGCACCAGCACCGTTCGGCATCTCCTCGGAACAGGAGGTGCCGGGCGGCGATATGGTGCCCGTCTCGAGCGACGTGGCCGCTGCCGTGGCCAGTCTGCAGACCACGGCTCCTCACGTGTCCAACGTGATCACGTACCCGAGTGCCGGCGCCGGGGACGCGCTGCTGGCCGACTCGGCGGGGGTGGTGGTGTACGAGACCGCCGGCCAGGTACCGGACGCGCCGGAGGAGTACGTGACGGTGCCGGCCGGCGGGTCGATCGTCACCCTCCCCACAGACTGCGTGATGAGTGGTGAACTGGAGAGTGACTCTGTTGATCCCCTGGCGCTGGACGATGGCGCTGTCACCTCCACCCCCGCCGCTCCGGCGGGCCCCACAGACGCCGCCGCGTTCAACTCGGATGCGCGTGTACCGAGTGTCGATAAGCTGCGCCGGGCGGTGGGTGAGTGGTCGACGGAGATCTGTGACCGTCTGAGCAGTGACAGCGACGGGGAGTGGCGGGAGGCCGTGTCCGCCTTCCTGGAGAACTGGGACCGGCTGCCGGCGCCCGGACGGAGGAAGGCGCTCAGCAGCTTCGGCCGTGTGAGCGGCCTGGGTCGGCCGAGCGCCGCGCCGGCGCCCGTGCCCCGGCACACGGCCCTTCCCACCGAGTCGGTCTCCACACAGACCGGGTACGACGACCCGACACCGGAGGGCAGGCCCGGCTCCTTCGTCCTTTGTGTGATCAGGAATGATCACGATTATCTGGCAGAGGTGCCCGTCATGAGGCCTCGTTACAAACATGTACTGCCAAAGCTATTCGGACTAGTTTAGTGGAACCATGGGTATGGTGACGCTCTGGGTGGCTGTACATATAGTGTGTGATCTTCGTGAAGCTCTCATCCATTTGTAAATTCCGTACAGATTGTTATTCATTATCATCGCACCGTGATCATGGTTCTTCATGTGTATAACTTCACTGAGTCGTGGCATCATTTAATTGGGAGTGCAGTGTTAAAAGGATGCTTGAAACTGAAATTGAGGCTGGCGCCGCATTACGCTAAAACTGTGTGCTCGCCTGGTGAATAGCTAAGTTTTGAATTTTGTTTCGGGCTGTTTGGATTCATGTTGTTCCCATCTCTTGAATGTATTCACTGGCTGAATGCATTGTAGCTACATTTTGTGATCGACCTTGTTTTATGCCTCAGTAAGCGTTGAGTTTTTCATCGTAATGTCAGAGAAATATAATTGTATGTTTGGAATTTGGATTTATTTCATTTATGCCTGCTACTTTGCTTTCTCGGTATACGACGGGAAGATGGATTCACTTTTTCGTTACTCATAACCAGAGGTTCTAGTTAGAGTTAGCCAACGTGCTGACGGAATATATTTGACATTGTGAAGGAACGTCGCTGGGTTGAAGAAGGCCCTAAAAGCAAGGCTCGAAGAAGCCGACTGTTGAAAGCGTTGAAAGCTGGTTGAAAGCGGCCAATGCGCCGATTTCGCGTGCTGCGATCGTGATGCCATGTGATCGTGAGATTTTTTCTGTCTGGGATCAAATGGTTGTTCTGTAGCTTTGACTTTCGTTTTGTGTCGGGTCGGATTATTGACGTTACCACTCGAAACTCCACCCAGTTGTATAAATCGATATTTGTGCAAGATATGGCATAAACAGTCTATCGTGATGGTGAAGACTGCTCAGCTGTTCTTGTTCTTGTATCTGGTCAAGTGTATTATAAATGTTTGCGATTCCCAGAGCACGACTAGAGTCACCGTTGTGCATACCAGCGATGTACATTTGCACTTTGCAGAGAGCGGTGCATTACACGGTGGATGTGAGCAGAAAACCAATTGCCATGGGGGACTGGCACGTTTCGTCAAGTTTGTTGAGGAGCTAAAGGAAGCTAGGTCTAACCTGCTTGTCGTCGATGCCGGTGGATTTATACCTGGGAGACTGCTTCAAGTCGATGGAGGTCGAGAGGCAGTGACCGAATTGGTCAAGCCGTTGCCGTTTGACGCCATGGCATTTGGAGCTTTTGAGTTGAGTGATGGCATTGACGCGCTAGCCGATTATGTGAAGATTGTCGGCCAAAAGTTCGTGTGCACAAACCTGGAGTTCTCTAAATCTTCTGAAAATGGAAGATATCTGGCCAAAATGTGCCATAAAACAATGATCAAAATGTACGGAGAGCTCCAGATTGGTATCATTAGCTACATCAACAAGGAGAGCTTATCAAAGAGCATCAAAGGAATTACAATACTTGACGAAGTGGAGGCTCTCAACGCCGGGATAAGTGAACTGGAATCAATGTCTGAGGATATCTCCATCATCCTCGCATTGGGCTACTCTCACCACGCGCTGGATAAGCGGATCCTGGAGAAGGTACCCAAGATCAACCTCATCATCTCTGGCAACTCGTTCGCCATGTTCTACAATGGCACGCCGCCCAGCGGAGCGCACAAGGACTTCGACTATCCGCTTACCATCCACCATTCGGAGTCCGGCAACGGCAGCCGGCCCGTCACCAACCAGATGGTGGTCGGAAACTACTTCCACATGCTGTACGCCGGCAAGCTGAAGCTGGTGACGACCAACCAGGAGGTGTCGCTGGACACGCAGTCCGAGTCCAACCCGGTCTACATGCACGGGGAGAAGGACCCGGACACACAGAGGTTGGTCGAAAAGCACGCGCACGCGCTCAGTCTGATCCTCGGCCAGTCGATCGGGTTCAACTCGTTCCTGCTGGACGGCAGTCACAGGTGCCGGCACAGCGAGTGCTCCATGGGTAGTCTTGTCGCCGACGCCATGGTGGAGGCGGCCCTGCAGTCCGTCGACGCGCCGCCGCCCGGCGCGTGGACGGTCGCCGCCGTGGCGCTGCTCGACAGCCACCGCGTCTCCTCCAGTCTGGAGCGCGGCGCCGTCTACCGCATCGACATGCGGAACGCGCTGCGGAACGACTCCAGCCTGGACGTGCTGCGGCTGACGGGTGCCGAGCTGCGCGGACTGCTGGAGAACAGCACCCGGCGCGTGCTAAACGGCTCCACCGGCTTCCTGCAGGTGTCGGGGGTACAGGTGGTCAGCCGGCCGGCCGAGGACGACGGGCCGCCCCAGCTCAACATCTCCGTGGTGTGCGCCGAGTGTCTGCTGGCGCGCTACGAGCCGCTCAATGACAGCACCGTGTACTCGGCCGTGGTGACCGCCTCGTTCGCGGCGCGTCTGACGGCCCCCGGCGGTCCGCTGACGGCCTCGGTGGCGAACCGCAGCCGCCAGCTGCACGGCTCGCTGCGTCACGCCGCCGCCGACTACATCAGCAAGCTGTCGCCCGTGTTCATCCCCACCGGCGACAGGCTGATGCTGCACCTGCAGACGGGGACGGCGGCGCCGGCGACCGGCGCACCCCCGGACGGGTGGCGGCTGGCGGCAGCAGTGGCGGCCGCTCTCCTGGTGACTAGGGTGGCTGGAGTGGCGTAACGGCTCTGCAGGGTGTTAGTGTTGGATGTCGGTGTGTTGGGGTGGTTTAGATGAAAGGGTTCAGTGGTGTGTTCTGTAAACGGCGCCGAGATGGAAACGTTAGTCAGGCGTTGTTGGAGCTGTTTGTATTGTGTTAGTACCGTGTCGTACTCTGTGAATGCAACCGTTCACCGTTGTCTGTGTCATGTGCATGCTAGCGTTATTACCCCTTCCGAAAACTTGTAACATTTTCATCAGCAATATATTGATAAACAACTTGAAATTATTTTTAAAATCTATTTATTGGGCACACGAAAAACACTCGTCAAATTCTGCCTTTCATTATGTTATGATTCGCGTCGCGTTTACAACGAGACAATATTCGCATCACTGTATCGGATCAAACCCTCTTTCCAAGATCAAATTCCAACTCCACAAACCACATCCACTTCACTCACCATCATTTTCCGTTTCATTTGGCCATTGGCCGCTGTGACGGCAGCGGCGGACCCTCTCAGACCCCCGGTGGGTCGAGTGACACCTCCCGCCACCGCCCCGCCCCGCCCCGCCCCGTGTCGTCGGCGTCGTCGGCGGCGGGCGTCGGCGGGGTGGCGGCGGCGGGCGGTGAAGCTAGTATCGATCGGGCCCGCCAGCTGACCGGGCAAAGCTGGCCGACCATACGGCCGAGAACCAGTCGGACGGCCGGTGGTGCAGGGTCGCGCGGATAGCTGACGCCGGTGGTCGGACTGTGGACGCGACTGTGGACAGGGGAGAGGGCGTGGTGTGCACTGTGGATCTTGGAGGGTGTGTGGACAGCAGCCGTCGGGGCTTGTGTTGGGTGTGAGGAGCCGGTGAAATGAAGATGTGAGGAGAGCGACGCCTGGACTCGTGGGCTTGCCCATTGACAGAGTTCGGCAACAGAGGTGAATCAAAACTGGAACAGGTCAGTCGCCTGAGGCCGGGATAGGGACCTTTATTACGGGCATTTCTTTTTTTATGGGCGTGTACTCTGGGACCATTGAAATGAGTACCTACCTGCCCCCAAATGGCTACCCCAGTTGGTATACCTACTGAAAAAAGATCATTAGCAAGGGCTCGTCTGGCATATCCTAAATTTGTGTTTTACCCATGCATTACGATTGATTCACACCATCCGCCTATCATTTGATTTGCTTTGACAATCGTCTTGCTTTTGAGCAGAATCGATCTTCGACGGAAGATGCATGCCTTTTCTACTCGATGAACCCGACACAATACCAGCCGGTTGTTGACCTATCGACAGAGGAGGCTCCGTTTCAGTTTGGCCCTATCTGAGCCGGTGTGCGGGACTGTGGCCAAATACCTAATGGGGGTCACAGCGCACCCATGGCAAGCGGCCAGCTCACAGTGAGGTGTGAGTGGGTTAGTGCTACGGTGGCATTGATGGATAGACAGAATGTTGTTTTGGTCATTTCCCATCCGTCGTGACAGTGAAAAGAGAGCTCTGGCAATGAAAGGAGTTTGCGGTTACTGCGATCGCGTTGATGAAAAAACTTTGTTGATTCGTCTCACTCACGACTGAACGAGAGAGAACCACTCAGTCGCGGCTTCGGCCGAGCGAGCTACCTGCATTGCGGTACAGCATAACTTCAGGCGCTTGTTACTGGCGCCATCTATGATCTATGGACTGAGTTTGCGTTAGGGCCTTGCGGTACAGCATACATTCAGGCGTTACTGCTACTGCCATCTATTGATTACCAGGAAAAACACGTGGCTGTGGAATTGAGAACGATGCGACCTGATACAGAATAACAGAGCTAAACAAAGCGTTCAAAGACGGACAGCAAACATCACATGTGTCTATATGATGGTTAGCTAGGGCAACCTAAGCTCCTGCATGAAGTTGACTCATTTTATTTCAAATCGAGTAACAACGTCCTCTGAAGGTTGTTGAGATTGATCGAAAGAGGTTTTCGAGTGGGATGCTGTTTCGTTCCTTGTGACTTTACACATCTTCGTCTATTGTCGGGCGCAGCAGGGGGGGGGGGGATAGAAGGTAAAGAGGGAAGGACAACAGTCGAAACTGTTGGCGTGATATTCTAATATGCAATTCAAATGAACTCTGATGCAACTTGCAATTGATAAGAGTGGATGGACGTTGTTAGCCTGTAATAATTGATTGTCTTTGCTCGGTTATTCATTTGAGTCTTTGTCGCATATCTGAAAATGTGTGTCAATGATCAATATGCCGATTTATTTTACGTGGAGATTCTCATTAGCATACAACAGATGCCAGCTGCTAAACCAAACGGTCTCTTCGTGTCGATCGTGATTATAGTTCGATACCATAGTTTGATGTTGGGTTATTATAGGGTGGCGCAGCGCACTTCCTTCACAATAACAGAAGCGAATCACGTTACCTACAGGGTTGGGCAGATAAATTGGGACAAAATACATATTTGCATTCAGAACGCCGTAGCTTAGAAATTTGTAAACGTAGGCATTTCAAATATGGATCACATATTGTCACACAAATTTTACACATTTATCACCAAGTATGGTCACCGTGGTCCACCTGCATCAGTCCTTATCGGTGCCTGGACTGGCCGCACGCGCGGCGAGATCTCCCGTCTGAAATGGCTCGTAATTGTAGCCAACTGGCACTGCTGAGGCTCACCACAGTCACATGGGGACGTTCGTCAGACTCACCCGCAAAAACGCCCTAGCAACCAGAACTTGTGTGGGCTGAGGTTTAATGAGGAAGGGGGCATTTTCCCTTGGGTGCAGTTTGCGGGATCCTCCGTTATAGGAGATTTTGTATTTAATTTACTGTATGCTGGGGAGCTGACTCCTCGAAGAGCATCACTCCATGCAGGATGTTGCCTTTTTCCATCTTGTTGATTCGAACTGCCGGAATAATGGTTAGGTACGCTGTAATGGCGAACCCCCTCCCGATTCCGTAAAATAATGGGGGCCCCACGTGGTTGTCAGAAGTCACCGAGTGGAATGCCATCACCGAGGTCTGCTGCATGTTTTTTGGCACTAAGATCACGTCTTCTGGGCTGGTTGCGATGTTTCATGGTGTTTGCGGTTGTTCATATGGTCGGTTATGGGGATACCCTCGTCGAAAAAGACCTGCACGCGCTTGCTCGCTTCTCCAAGCCCTTCAAGAGGAAACAATCTTTTTAACGTCACAGCTGCTTCAACATCTATGTTAACAGGTTGATATGCATCAATGCATAAGAGTACATGTTTGAGGTGCTGGTATATCGCTTTCTCATGGCGCGGCTACCTTCGTTGTAAGCTCGCGCCACTGTTTTCGCGAGGATCCTCTGATTTAACTGAATTTTGCCTTTTAGCGCCCCTGGAAAACCGGAGGAGCGGCCGGTGTCAATGCAATAAGTATGTAAGGATGAGTCAACATCTTCTCTTCCTCCAACGTGTACGTCTGTTCGATACACACTACTTTCAGCCAGTTGATGGAGCATAATTAGAGTATTGGCATGCATGTGCGCGCGGACTAAGTTGATAGTGACTTGCTTAACACGCGCACTGCAGGGGGGGGTTGTTTTCAACCCCCCTGTGGTTTTTCGCAAATTGCGAGAAAACGGCGGCGCGTAGCGCCGCCAAATTTTGGATACCTGTTCTCACAACTTTTGCACACCTTGAGTAAAAATTTTGACCCCAGGTGACCTATGGTCAGGTCACCAGGTCAGGTCAAGTGACCCTACCTCGAAACGTAAATTTCGAAGTTTGCAATCCCACCAAGCCCACAGTTGTTGAGATATGATCTTGAAACCCACAGGAAATAGTAAAGTCATCACGAGCTACAACTTGTATATCTCGGAATTTTTATATCGATGACCTAAGGTCAGGTCATTTTTGCGACCGGCCCATTATAAGTCAATGGGAGAAATTTCAACTTACTCTGAATGCCATCCTATGACTTCAATACGCTCAGGATCATAGTATTACAGGTCCCTGTTGGTGATTTCACCGAAACATATCACTTATGACCTTTGGAAGGTGATCTCCAGGTCATCTTAGGTCACCTGAGGTCACCAGCTGTTTTTCTTCAATAACTTGAGATTGAGTAGAGATAGAGACTCCGTTCGACGTTTATCGTGTTTTTCTCGTCAATGCGGATCGAATGATATGCAACATGACCTATTTCGGTCAGGTCATGACCTTGACCTGAGGTCAAATTTTCAACTTGACCTTTCGAGGTCATATTATATATCATTCGATGCGCCTTGACGAGCTAAGAACGATGGCGTTCGAATCGATCCTCTGTCTTGTGTGCAAGACAAGTTATTCAAGAAAAACTACCGCGAAATTCCTGTTGTGAAAATCGTAACATTTTGTCTTCGGTGACCTCTGGTGACCTCGCTTTTGACCTGACCCAAAAATGATCTTTGTATTTCTTGTCGATCTCATCTTAACCTATCCAACGCCGTTTACCGCTTGTCGCTACGTTGCGCCGTTTTCGAGATCTCAGGAGGGGTTGTTTTCAACCCCCCCCCCCTGCAGTTCGTGTTCGGCTCAGACCCGCTGCAGGTTCTGTGACCAGCCGACTCAAAAGTACAACGCAACCTGCATAACATGGAAAGTATTCATTAGCCTATATTTATGGTCAAAAATTATCCTAATCACTCAAAAAATAGTCGTTTTAGAGGAAGTTGAAATTTGTCCCAATTTATCTGCCCAACCCTGTATAGGGGAGAGTGGGGAAAGATGCCCAGGGTTTTACTATGTCATATATTATTTGAAAATGACGATCCGAAAGCAAAAACTTGGAGTTTCAACGGAAGCCGACATCATTTTTTTCAAAAATATCACACTTTCGTGCCTGAAATATGATAACTTTTTTGCTATTAAGCATTTTCCTGAAGAAGTGAAAGGGGGCATCTTACCCCACAAGGTGGGAAAGACGCCTCCTGGCGTTGGGGAAGATGCCCCCTGCACTATAAGTGACATAAATGGGCACGTGAATCGCCTGAACGAATCAGTAGTCTCTTTGAGCCTGCAGTAGACACCAAACGTCATCGTAAGGGCCCTCAAAAGTAGTCGTAAGGGGCTTCGGAGGTCATCGTTAGGGCCATCATAGTCCAGCGCGGCCAAACAAGCCTCCGTGGTGGCGTTCGGAGACCACTGTGGGGCCCTTATAGGTCTTCATGATGCTTGAGGGCCCTTGAGCCCATCGTGGGGACCTCAGATGCCAGCGCGGCCCGTGGAGCCAACGTGGGAACCCTCAAAGGATGTCGTGAGGGGCCCTGGAGCCAATAATGGGGCCCACAGAGGCCGTCGTGAGGGCTCTCAGAGTCAGATGCCGCCCAAAAAGTCGCTGTGTGGGCCGAGAGACCGGCATGGGGAGCACCCGACCGTACTGGGCTCTCAATAGTCCCAGATCGGCTTTTGTCTCTCATCACAAGTATGTAATAAATGATTTGACGGGCTGCTTGAAGGACAGCCTACGGATTTAGGGGGGCGTCTTTCCCCATCAGGACAGGGGGCATCTTACCCCAAGGTACCGAAGTAAGATTAAATCAGTACAATTTGTTAGCCATAGGTATAACTACACCCTGAAACAAACTGTTTGGGACACAGTACACGCATGTTAATGTATCACGACTATAGCAAGGGACGCAAAAATTATCTACCTTCTTTGATATTTACAATGTTTTGACACCAAAATATTTTTTGAAAGCAGCAAATAAAAAACATGCAATCACCAGCCAGCCGTTGCCCAACTGAGCTTCGCAAATTTTGGTGCAGTTAACAAGGCAGGCTTCCGCTTTACTTTAAGAACATTAATTTCCAGGTTCGATTCTTTGTTTCGCCGCAAGAGGGGGTGGGGCGTCTTTCCCACCCTGGGCATCTTACCCCACTCTCCCCTATGTATGTTATGCTGTGAGTTGTGGTCGGCGTGTGTACTTGAGAAATGTGCGGTGAAACGTAACCTACCGGTAGGTATAGTGTTAACTGTCAACGTTTGGCTTTTGTTTCACTTACCGGAGCTGCTATAAGCAATAACAGACCACAATGATCTATTATTGCGGCAATGCGGCCGTGCGATGCTGCAAGCTGCAACCGTCCGTCGTCCTAGTTTAGTCTCGGGCCCTATACCATCTTCATTCTATTCTAAGTTCCATCCCGCGTAAATCTCCCGTTTAGGCCGTTTAGGATTCACTGCAAGTGCACTCCCTCTTATTCCTTCCCGTCTCTCGTCTCTCTCAGTGCCATCTCGTCTCCCATTGGTCGTTGCGGCCCTGCACCCCGTCCCCGCTCCGTCTTCCAGTCCCGTCTAGTTCCCTTTCCATGCCCCGTCTAAGTCGCCCTCCTACGTTTCGGCTCCTTTCCATTCCGTCCTCCACCTCGTTCCCAGTCCCGTCCCCGCTGTCTCAATCTCGCAGTCCCGTCTACCATCGCCTTTGCCCGTGCATACTCCACCGGTACCTACTTCGACTTTGACCCGGCACCACTCGCCACCCTACAGGTGTTGGCTGTACTGAACGTCAACCCATGTCGACGCCGTCAATCCGCGACAATCAGTCATTGCCGAGGGTTTGACAACTCAGCGCCACACCACGGCCAACGCACTGCTATAGGCCGGCTAGTGTGACGGTGAACAGGGCCCAAATAAATAACACAAAAACTGGAGAAGGCAAGACAACGTAATGGTCAGTCGTCTGTCGAAATGGTGGCTCGCTGCCGGCTGCTGGCGCTACCGCTGCCAGGCCCTGCCGGACGGAATGCAGCTTTCAGTTCAATTTTGTAAAATGAAGGAATACACCACCATTACTATTAGGTATTGCTTATTTTGTTTTGTAAATCTAGGTGAAACCACATGAAGCTGTAAATGCGTATTTATGCAGTGACTCTAACTACAAACAAAATGCAAAATAATATTGCCCTTTTTGTTCGTTTGGTAACTGACCTCTGAGCGAAGGCAAATCGCCGTTTTACAACTTCCCACAATAGTCGTCTGCTTCGCTATACCTACTTATCATTCGTATCCTTCCACGGTGCCTCAGTCTGCTCAGAAGCCCGAAAACATATCTCTCAAATTTCCGATCCGTCCTGCAGGAGCTCGCAGAATCAAATTTCCCGGTCGTGTCGTATCGTCACCGCAGGACGGTCCGCCGGCGGCGGTGGGGGCGCGGAGTGGTGGGGAGGAGAGAGGGGGCGGGCTCCCGGGATGTCCTTGGCTGCCGGCTCGCTATTGGTGGATGAGTGCCGCCCAAACCGGTCCTGCTGGGAGGCCAGCGTTGTTCCGCGCGTACGCAGTGTTTGTGTCCGAGTTTACGTGGGTGGATCCGTGCCGGATGTGTCTAGTGAAAATGTGTTGTGGAAATCGTGAATGATTGATAATGACGAAGTGTTGATGTGAAGTATAACGTTTTGGTTTGTTCTGTCCTGTTTGGAAATAACGTGCTGGGCTTAGGAAACTTGACTGAGCAAAAAGCAAGAGTGGAGTTCATCCACGTGATCGTCTACGACAAAGGTCAAACAGAAACGCTGCACAATATCAAGGTCGGACTACGCCCATAGCTCAAGCGTGCCAGTCCGTCCGTTTTTTGGATTCAGCATTCGACTCAAGGAAGGTTTTGAAGTCTTTTGTGAAGTGTGTATTGTCCCAGTCGATTTCAACTAGCGTGTTGTGATCAGCCATGTAGGTAGGTGGCCTTAGCTCATCACTGGGTTTGGCACATGCACCCGTTCTCTGTTTATCGTCTGCGCTCATCCGAGAACCATGCGCTCTGGCACCTGTTGAATAGCCTAGCGCCGTTCCCTCCCCTCCCCTCCCCGACACGTGTCTCCTCTTTGTTTGTCTGATTTCATCTGCATTCTTGTGTCACTGAATCTGTCTTTGTTCCTCCGTTACCGCGTGAGCTTTATACGAATCTATTTGTACTGACTTGGCACCGTTTTATCGGCTGATACGAATGAATAAAAAGTGTCCGCTCCTTGTGAGTTGTGGGCTTATTAGCCCTATAGTGTAGTGCCTTGTTTATCGATACCGCTCAGCTCCTATACCTACTGGTCTTATTAAACACTTTAAACACCGAATCTTTGGTTTCAGGCTCGCGATGGGTGCCGAAGTCAGGCGGTGGTGCAGGTTACCTGACTCTGTCTGAGGAAACAGCCGGCCGGACCCGATCCACCGCCCGCCACCTGTTCTACCAAGTGTAACCCCACCACAACACTGAAGCCATGTTCGAGGGCGTAGTCTCGTACATTCTCAACAAGTACCTGAGCCGGTACATCGAGAACCTGGACACAGACAGTCTCAACATCAGCGTATGGAGCGGCCACGTGGAACTCACCGATCTCACGCTCAAACCGGAGGCGCTGGTGAGTTTTCCTGTTCTCACACTAAGCTCTACTACCCACCCGTCGAGGTGTCTGCGGAGCCTAAAGCTGCCAGGCGGCGGGTTTTTGACAGACTTAGGCCTGCAATAAACTCGCTCGGGTTTTGAGATATAGCAACAACATCTGGTCGTTCAGAGCTTATTTTCTCGTCGGTAGCACGTGTTCAGAGCTCTGGACACTTGGGCATATGGTCTGAAGATTGGTTGCAGATGGGCCTGTGGTTTCGAAATAGCTGAGCTGGGCTCGCGTACAGTAATGTGAATTTTAACACTAGATGTTGTTTGCACTGTACTAGCAGTTGCGTATAGCGCCGACGAAATGCATCGAACTTTCAGATGAAAGGTGAATTTATCGTTACATTGATGGCAATTAACCGAAGGCGGACTGTGATATGATCCCTGCCTTGACCGTGAGCGTCTCGTTTTCAGGCGGGTCTGGAGCTGCCGGTAGCGGTGACCCGCGGCACGGTCGGCCGGATCTCCCTCGCCGTCCCCTGGACCAGTCTCTGGAGCAGTCCTCTGGTCGTCACTGTCTCTGACGTACTGGTCCTGGCCGCTCCCGTGGCCTCCCGCCCGTACGACCCAGAGCTGGAGCAGCGGCTGGCGCGGGCCGCCAAACGTACCGCCGTGTCCCGCCTGGAGCGGGATGACGCCATACCAGGTCAGAGGGACTTCCAAAGCGGTCAAACGCTGGAGGGATACGTGAGAGCTCCGTATCGTGTTTGAGGCTGGTGAACTCATGTGCTATGTATGATGGAATAATATCACATTATGTAATCGTCCGTCCGCCGACCGGCGCGACAGTCCCCGATGTATCGTAACCGGTTGAGTGTGGAATCGCTCCCGATTGCGGACCGGAAATCAATCGACCCTGACCTGACCGCCAAATACTCAACTATAGACTCGACTGCTCGACTTGAGACGAGACTCGCATTGACTGGGTTCGCGGTAGGAGGGCGGCAGCCTCTCGCTCCCGGTCAATACCAGAGGCTGTGTTCAGAAACCACTGGCGACTCCGACAGGCTGGGTAAGATCGAGCAAACTTTATGACGGCTCTGTATTGGGCTCAGTAGCTATCGCCATGGATGGTGGTTATTGGTTTGGATGGGGTTTCCCGGTTATTACGCTGAGCTAGAGTGATGTCTGTCGTCAACAGCTGCTGCTGTGGTAGTTACCGGCAATGGTTCAGAAAACTGCCAATAACTAGCAGTAGAAATGAATTATTGATGAACCAGCATTGGCGTGCAACGTTATCGTAATGCTGACGGACTGTGACGATATTGCTGGGAAAATTCCATTGCCCTGTGTCGTTTTATTAGAAGCCATTAATGACCAATAAAGGTTGCAACTGTTCTGCGGCTTTCCAATCATGAGGTCAGCTTTTCAACTCTTTGATCTGTGGATACCAGCCGGATTAACATTGAGGCTCTCGTGTAAGCCCATGTCGCAATATGTAATTGGCTGTTTGCCTTAGAACAGCGGTATGCCTTTCTTTACGTACAAGGCGATAAATACCTATGCATATACGTAGAAGTATATTTTGTTGACAAAATATACTTCCTCTTGTACCGACATCCCATCTGTTCCAAACATCCCGCCCAACTTTTATGCGCCGTCTCCTGGCAGGAATGCCACTGCTATCTCGTTACCCGGATCGTTGATGTCGTTAGACTCAATGTTTACATCCTCCCATCTCTGTTTGGACAGATTTTACACAACTTTCCAGAACTGACATTGTGTATCGCTGCATGAGTCCTTACTCCTTACAAGCGTGAAGTTTCGACTAGTTAGGTAATGCATAGGTATCTGTAACCCTTGTGAGATGTTTTTTTCTTCTCTAATTTATCTCTTGTCGCTTGTCCCTGACCTAGCTATATCTATCCGTGTTTTTGTTCCGCAGCCAGCGACGAACCGGCCGGTTTCTTCGAGCGTCTGGTGGCTACCATTCTGAAGAACGTGCAGGTGTTCGTAAACCGCATCCATGTGCGGTACGAGGACACGATATCCACGCCCGAGTGTCCGCTGGCGGCCGGACTCTGCATTCAGAGCATCTCGGCAGAGACCACCAACAGGTAGGTGTTGGCATTCTGTATCGAAAGAGTTTCAACCTGTCGTGCCCTAATGCACATTGTCGCGTCTGGATTCGGCGAGATGCATGATTGTAGAATGCATTGTGACATTTTCAAGCGATAAGCACGTTTAATGGACGGTATCTTTCCCAGTGCTTAACAAAATTACAGCAGCCATTTGCTGTGCACTGTATCGGGTAAATACGTGACTCTGGGTAATGGGGATTCCTCGTAATGTCCAACCGCAAATCCATCAACTCTCATCCCATGCCATCACTAACCCCATGACCTCTAAGTCACCTCGCGTGCTCGGAGCACTCTCCCCTAACTCCCCTCCTCCGTCCGTCGTCAGCAAATGGAAGCCAGCCACGGTCGGTGCCGACGCGAGCAGCGTCTACAAACTGGTGCGACTGGAGTCCATGTCGGTCTACTGGAACCCTTACTGCGAGCGTGGCCGGCTGGACACTGATGAAGCCCAGGAGGGATGGAGGGCGCTGATGGCCGACACGCTAAACACCATGGCTGTGAGCGAGGAGCGACTCGAGTTCTGTGAGTGGGGAGAGGGAAGGAGGGGAGGTGGGCCTCAGGGGTATGGGCGTTTGGGAGTGAGTATGGGCCTCGCAGGTTAGATGGGCTGACACCCACACGACTGATTTCAGTTGTTAAGCATTCGGTACTACAAATAAAGACACGATATCGTGAATTGCGTGGGCTGTACAGGGCCACGCAGCTGCACATGATTCATGCGTTTTTTTACAGTGAATCATTGATGGTTGTCTAATAGCTGCTTGTTCGGTCAGGCATAAAGGTAAGGTCAGTACAGGCTAACTTCCCTTTGTTGGACAGCATATTATAGTCTTCATCAACTCGGGTGAAATTGCATCTAACGCGTCACTCGGTTTGGCTTCCTTTAGCCTTCCGGAGATCATGTGGGAAAGGCCGAGCGTTTCGTGCCCTTCCGACATTACAAAGTCAACGGAAGCCCAACAACCGTGAAATGGATGTGGGCCGGACTTCTTTATGTGTCACTCAAGAAGTTCTCAAAAGATTATGCCAGTTGAAATAAGTGATTCGCTTTACGAATATAATATTTTGTGAGATTCTTTCTCTTCCTTTCGTCTCTGTGTTATATGGCGGTAATATTTGAACAACGGAACCCGAATATCTGCTTCATAATGATTCAGACTTGGTTTTCGACAATATCCGAAAGCTGCTGATGCTTACATCGATTGAAAACCGTCCATGCTTGCAGTGGTGAAGCTGCTGTTTGCCAAGATTTAGTTAGTAACTGGGCGCCATGTTCATGCTTGCAGTGGTGAAGCCGCTGTCTGCCAGGTCTAGGTTTATGTATGACTATATCATGTCTGCATCCCGCAGTGGTGAAGCCGCTGTCTCATGCGATGTTTAACTGATGTCTGCTCCCGCAGTGGTGAAGCCGCTGTCTGCCAAGCTGAAGGTGATCCTGAACCTGTCGCCGGAGCGGACAGTGCCGCACCTGCTGGCCGATCTGGTGCTGCAGGACACGAGCGTGCAGCTGTCCCGTCAGCAGTACCTGAGCCTGGTGCACGCGGCAGACAGCTTCAGTCGCATGAAGGTCAACAGGTCAGTGGCCGTGCGGACTGCGGGCTTACGGCGCATATTGGACCGTAATTAGATTACGTAGATTGAATGCGATGGGATGCTATTAGCTTATGGGGGAGGGGGCCGGATTTTCTTGGAGTGCGTAATAAGATGATGATGAGAAGGTAACAGGTATTATTGTACCGAAAGAGTGAACAATACCGTTTCCGTTCACATCCTCTGGCTATAGATACTGGATATAAATTATCAATAGATATGGCCTGGGCTTTGCACGAACTTGTCCGCTTTATTCGGACTCTATTCAATTAGTAGAAACGCACTGAATCGTTCATCCTTTATTCTATTCTTTATCTCTTTTCAGTCAATACCGCAAATACCGGCCCACTGTGGAGCCTCACGGCAATGCTGCTAAATGGTGGAAATACGCATATACGTGTATCGTGGAGAAGACCATTCGTCCGTACTCCTGGGAACGTATCAAGGAGCACAGGTAATGTCCCGTTTATCACAGGCGACGTCGCATTAAGCAGACAGGTGACACCAACCTTTACATGCTGGATGTCTAACCACAAATTTTTGCCGTTGAAACTTGTGAAGTGCATTAGCAAAGCATTGATCCAGCTCGTCACATCGACCACAAACGCATGTAAAGCACGTATTACAGGGCAGTAGCATTTCATGGCACGTATGCATTTAGTGGGAAACGGACGTCGCCATGCCGGGCAACGGATATCATGCGAATGATTTACGCGTTCTGGGAATGTATATCCAACGGAAGTCAGCGCATCAAATATGAAAACGTTGGACGAAAATTCACTCTGAAACTCAACTCTAGCAACGTCATTCATCATTTCCTGCACTCGTCAAAAATAACTGCCAGTCTTTGTGGTGTGTAGAGAGTGTTTGACGTGGTGTACCCGTGTACTTCAGGCGCCGGTACCGCGAGTACCGAGCCGAGTATCTGACGTTCCTGGAGGACCCCGACCAGAAGGTGGAGCTGCTGAACAAGTTGAAGGAGATGGAGGACGGCCTGGACGCCACCGGTATCCTGCTGGCCAGGGAGGAGGCCAAAATTGAGGTGAGAAGCTTGTGAGACGGCTACGGGATTATAGGACAGAGGTTCTGTTCAGTGGCTACCTTTTGTAGGTCCCTTTATACATACACAAGACGGAAATGAAATATTGGTTTTATCGTTACCGTAAATCGACCCGCCTAAGGTAGGGATTGCTTATTTTAGCGCCATTGTAGGCTTTGCATGGTAACCGTTTTTGTTTCTTTCACTGATACGCCACAGTATTATGTGATCTGTGATAGGTAATTGTACCTGGCCTTTAACTGTGTTTACACCAGTGCAGTGTAATTACTCTGACTATTTATGGCTACCGTTGACACCTTATCCACTGTCCGCCGAAAAGTTGTCAGTGCCTACCGGGAGTGGTAGGCCCGCCCCGCACGAGTGCGTTTTTGATGCGTTGCGGTGCGCTGCCGTCCATCCGTTTGCGTCAGGCGCGCGGTGTTCGGTTCGCACCTTGCCGCATTCTCTCCCACAGAGCCATATCGTGTGTGCCGCATCGCATCGCGATGTGCCGCAGCGAGCCGCAACGCAACTCAGCGTTCCGTACGAAAAACACCCGTGTGTGGCGGCCCTTATACGGCCTTGGGCGGCTCTTAGTAGCGTGTGCCGCTCCGGTCATGTGCTGAGCGGATGACACGGCAGCAGACGACGCGTCTCTGCCGGCACCTGTGACCGATATATCACACCTGCTGCAGTGACGGTGCATGTTGGGTGACAGCAACTGGCGTCTGCCGAGACAACGCCGAGTAGACACTTTTCATGTGCTTACCTGTAACTGGTTCTGTAGTTACTACAGGGATTTTCTAGCGATTTTTCCACATCATGCAGCAGCTTTACGACTAAACCTCCGTAATGCTCCTTCATATGCCCTTACCGATCACACATAGACATCCGTTTATCCTTCAGTCACCTGTCTTGTTAGTTCTCGAGACTCTCTACCTATCACTTCCAACTCCCCTAACCTCTGACCTCTGACCCCACCTCTAACACCCCTCAGCTGGCACGGCGTGAGACGGCGGCCGCCGAGACGCCCCCACTGGAGGAGACGGGCACCTGGTGGGGCTGGCTAACGGGTGGCGCCGGCGCTGGAGACACGGACGCAGACGAGCCTCTCGTGCACCCGGCCTCCGTGAGAGGCTGGACCGTCTGGAGCCAGCTGACTGACGAGGAGAAACAGCAACTGTACGAGAGTATCGGCATGGCGGACAGCGGCCAGGAGGAGGATGTCACTGATCTGCCCACAAACTACATCAGTCAGTATATGAGGGGAGATGGGAGGGGGGGGGGGGGGGGAGAAGGACAGTGCTGAGGAACAAGGTTATAGATGTCCATCAACTGGCATATGCGTTGATTACATTGTGGTGTATAAAGAATCTGATTTACCGTGCGGCATACTGCATTAACCGAAGGCCAGAGACAGGCTTCTTACCAATATGGAAGGCATCGTAATGTAAATAGCCGTCATCGCACCAATTCAGATGCGCTTGCCAGTCCTGTTAACATATTCCAGTACGACCTTCAATTAAAACACCTTCTCCCTTCTCCCTCCCTTCTCTCCCTCAGAGCACAAGCTGAACGTCACGCTATCCACGCTGTCCGCCTCGCTACTGGCTCACAGCAGTGAGCTGCTGGTGGCCACTGTGAGCCAACTGGTGAGCAGTGTGGAGACGAGGCCGGCCGCCCGCTCCGTGCGCCTCTCTGCCAGCGCGCACAGCCTCCTGGTGGAGGGCACCAGTCTGGAGAGGGACCTGGTGCCCATCGTCTCACCGGCCGATATACACGGTACGGAAGAGATGAGGGAGAGTGAGCGAGCATTAGCTAGCCTGAAATGAGCAACCTTGTTGTTTTCATGGACACGGATACCGGCATACAAGAGATTATAACCGGCAGACGATGTTTCGACATAAATTGTAGCCTTCGCTATGGTTTGTTTATGTGCACGTCCCAGGATCCCAGGAAACTTGCGTTCCTTTCACGTCGTCCGTTAACTGCTCTAGCAAGTAGCAACAGCTGCACGAACCATCTCGCCCTATCGCAATAGCTGCACACTGTACCACTTTGACCGTTACCTGCACTGTGTGTTTGTTTATTTCAGAGAGCGACCACCGGCCTGTGTTCTCTCTGGACTTTGAGGTGAACCCTCCGGCGGCCGATTTCGGTCTCTCCGTGTCCGTCTCACCGGTCGAAGTAGTCTACTCCGAGGTACATACGAAACGATGTCTGAGGACAAATAATGATAGTTATGGGTCGGCGTGCAAAGTGACGAATATTGCTATCTTCGAATGCGGTATGCTAACCGCTAAATGGGTTATGAACAGACATCATTTTCATGAGTAGAGTAAGGTTACTTTCTTTACTACATTCAGTGTCAGCTTGTATGATCTCGTACATGCTTCTGCGTTGTCTTAGTTTCACTTGCTCCGACTCGACCTGACGCCTCCTCCTCCGCCGTCGTCCTCCCCTCTAACCCACCCCTCGCCGTCTCTCTCCCCCAGCACGCGGTCTCGGAGGTGCTGAGTTTCCTGCAGACGCCGCAGCTGACGCTCAGCGCTGCTGCTCAGCTGGCCCGCGGTCAGCTCAGCCGGCTGACGGAGGCCGGACGGATCGCCCTGCAGGAGGCCATCTCCCGGAGACGCACCCTGCAGCTCAGTCTGGACCTGGCCAGCCCGTACCTGGTCATACCCGAGACGGGCACACTACAGAGGTGAGACGGGCACCATACAGAGGTGGGGTCACGGCACGACAATGCAGGTCAGTCGTATGTCTCCAGTGGAAAGGGGAGTATGAATGCCGGCCTTTTCCACTGTAATTTCGCCGTTAACGTCTGGGATAATAAAAGCGAATTACAGTGAGTTGCGAGCCTAAATCCTGCCGAATAAAACTTTGGTTTGAGAACCAAAGTAGCGGACATAACCTCTGCTAAGAGACCTTCCGCTTCCCTGACAGCTCCATGCATTTTACTACATTGTTTCTTGGCGGCCATAGCATTGCATGAGTATGATTTTTAACAGTACCATGCTTGTGCCATGGTTGTCAGCGGAATTCTGCTGCTGGCGGACCTGACATGGCCCCCTGTCTAACCCCTAGTTGTCTGCTGGTTCCAGCGGCGGTAATCTGCTGGTGGTTGATCTGCCGTGATCCCCTGATGGTATCGTGGTTCCCTATCTGAACTATGGTCCCCTCCCGGTTCCAGCGGCGATAACCTGCTGGTGGTGGGCCAGCCTTGGTTCCCTGACTGTACCCTGGTTCCCTCCCGGTTCCAGCGGCGGTAACCTGCTGGTGATAGACCTGCCATGGTTCCCACTGTTATGGCTCTTTGTCTGAAGCCAGGTTTCCCTGCCGGTTCCAGCGGCGGTAACCTGCTGGTGGTGTACTGTACCATGGTTCCCGGTCTGAACCCTGGTTTCCTGCCGGTTCCAGCGGCGGTAACCTGCTGGTGGTGGACCTGGGCCGGCTGGTGGTCAGCTCCGAGCTGCAGCCCCAGCTGGAGGTGGGAGCTCTGGCCGAGATGACGCGCGCGGAGCTGGAGGAGGCTGTGTACGACCGGTACCGGTTCACACTCACCGACCTGCAGCTGCTCTTCGCCGACTCCGGTATGTCGACTGATCTTCTTATCGCTCGGAGACTTTGCGCATGCCGTAACTGGTAAGCCGTAGCATTATATTGCGATATACTCAGAACAGTGAGCACACAGAACGAACCTTTGCACACATAGCAAATACACGCAAGGTTACCTTTGCATGGTCGCTCAACACCATGGTTGTCACCAAGCCCATGCATACCTACTTTGCAAATACCTATTTTGTAGACATTCTACCGAATAAGCACACCCAAGAGTCGTGCTTAGCTATCAATCCGATCATAAACGGGTCTCAGTTTCTATGCGTACAAAACCGTCCGCTCCATCCCTCGAGACAGCGACAGCGAACCTCTCCGAACGCCTTCCGAACGCAGGTTCCGCCGTTACGACAGGAGAACATCTTCTTACACGGGTCATCTTCATCGGTAAACTCGGGCGAGCGGAGGGGCGCTCCGGCTGGCCCGATCAGCTGACGTTTTCCACGTGCGTAGGTCGCCCCCGGACCGAGATGGGTCTCCATCAACAGAGCGTAGCCATTCTGAGTGATGATTGCGCGCTTCCGTCGGCGGAGAGGACTCCAGAAAGGCTGCGGGCGAGGGTTGACCAGCTGACTGAGGGAGCGAATGAAGCCGCTCGGTAATGAGTGATCCTCAGCGAGGGGAGAATTGTCCAGGTATCGCTTAGGTCTGACGGTGGTGGATGTGTTTTCTTTATCATCCGGTGGCAGACAGAGGCAGGTGCAGCAGGGGCAGAGTGATACCTCCCTTTGCTGCAGCGGCCGCCCGCAGTGAGGACAGGCGCTCATAGTCCGTGTTTGCAGACGGCGGTCACAATAGGGACATCTGGGTAGATCCAGTGCTCTGATCTGCCGCAGGCAGGACGGGCACCACTGTGGACTCCGCGCCTGGAGCCTGCTGGAGCAGTAGGGACACTGCTGGTGGTCCTCCCGGGGCGAGGGACACTGGCCAGAGAGGCAGAACTCCTGACACTGGGAGCGGAGTATCGGGTGGCGGCAGCAGGCGCTGGAGGGCAGGCGCTGGCAGCGGCAGCTGGCCGGCAGCTGAAACAGGGCGAGCGAGTGGTGTGGGTGGGAACTGGGATTTACTCTGCTGGATGATCGTGGCAACTACCAACTATGTAGGTTAGCTGGAGCCAGCGTTACTGGCGTCATGAATGCAAGCTAGAATGACTTGTTGCCACGTTTCAGGCAAATTACTTCATAGTCGTTCTTCTTGTAACGATACTAAACTAAAGCTTTCAGTGTCTATTAATCTGGCTTATTTTATGAACATGGAATATATTAGTTTGGATTTATCCGCACCGTAGCATACGTTGTCAGTGTGTCAGTGTCATCATAGCAGTGTAGATAGCAGCCAGTGTAGATAGCAGACATTGTGGGATTCATATTTACCTGATCGATGGCTTCCTGCGGTGTTCCCGGTCCAATATGTAAGCCTTCGTCAAGGAACTCTGCTGATCTCCGTTGTGCTCTTACGCTGAAACAGATTTTCATATATCAATTCTGTGGATATAATTTAAACTTTTCACCATTAGATATGCGTCAATATTGGATGTGTAAATTGTTGTCTTTTTTGTTTGCACACACGCTCGAGATTTCTCAAAATTATTTCAAGTCATCGAAGTTCTCGCTCGTTATGGTCCTTAAGATGGTTTGATATTTGTCCTTGAAATGAATCTGAAAAGCGAAGTTGACTTACCTCGCATTTACAAGGAGCCACACGGTCCAGCTTCTATACAGCATGTTGCTGCTTTTTGCTTGTTCGGCTCAAGATGAAATACAGGTTTGATAGTGCATTAGGCTAAGATAAATCTTGTAAACGTTGAAAACGACCGTCCTGAAATGAGAGCCCGTGTTTTGAAATAGCTACGATACCGACAAAAACAAAGTAGTTACAGTCGGTATAGTTGCTTTTTGCCAGCTTTTTGCTATGTTTTAGGGCCTTGCTTTTCGCTCTTGATTCTTTTGTGAGCGACCTCCCTCGGCTCCTTCGATATTTGAGTTAGTTGCGTGCGTTTTATGGTGGATATCCTCTGAGTGCGACTTCAGATCACAGAGGTTTCGTTTCGTGCCCGCCTATCTATTTCGTCACTCGAGCTGACTGAAGTTCACGGTTTGTCCTCAGGCGATGAGTGGCGCGCCAACCGGCGCCGGCCGGCCTCCGATAACCACCTGCTGCCCAAGGTGCAGGCAGAGATGGTGTTCTCCAACTCTGTACAGCAGCAGTACACACTGGTACCCAGGTCAGTCGGGACGTCCAGCTGAGCGGTGAAAAACGGCAATCTCCTGGTTTGGGAGCAGTCATCGGAGCGAAAGATGCGCTTGATGAATGCTAGCAAGTAGACCGGCTTCAGTTGGAAGAAGACCAGAGCAAGGCTGTATGTTGTAGTTGCAGATAAACGGTGTCGAAATCATGAAGTCATCGTTTTCATTCTATGACATACACAAGCCATTGCATTTGATTAGCCATCCAATTTTAGCGACAGCGGTTACATCATCGGTCCGTCGTCACTTCACTCCATTCTATCGCCGCCCTCCCCCTCCCTTATCTCACAGACACAAGCTGGACATCACAATGAGCGCGTGTCGTCTGAACCTGTCTGACCGGCGCATCCGGCGGCTGGTGGACTTTGGCGAGCGTCTGCCGATGCCCCGTCCTCTGCAGTATAGGGATACGGTGGACGCGCTGCCCAGGAAGGAGGAGCACCTCTGCCTGCGCGAGTGTCAGGTGCGTGGGATGACGCCAGAGGATGGGAGGGCTACTGTCGGCTTTACTGATAATATGGGGCTTTTAGCGCAAATTATAAAAGGCTTTTAACCATTTTATGCGCATTAGTCACTGGTTCGGATGCCATGGTCTTCTTGTCAGTGCATTGTTCACAGGTATTTCTGGACTGACCATTATATTTTGTTCTGTCACCCCGTGCCTTATACCTGTGATATTGTCATTGAAGAGGAAGGAATTAATCTCACATTCACGCAAATTAAACAACGCGTTCCACTGAACGTTACGTGATGCGTTTTTTTAATCATAGCCGGGTTGAGGATGCGCTTTAGAATTAGTGATTGCCATTTACCAGGCTACTATTTTGACCTTTCTTTCTCGCCGCTTTTCGTATTTGTTGTCCCTGAAGCTTATCTTCTCTTCTCAGATTCCTACGGTACGCTGCCAGAACCACAAAGCTTCAGCTCAAATGTATTATTTTTTTGCAACGCATTTTGCCATTGACCACGTCTCAAATTCCGTCTCACAGGCCCGCTGCATGCCACCTTCGGTGTATGTCTAACATATTGTACTCTGAGCTTCTAAAGTCTAGACCAAAGCTCTTGTTAAAATATCTGTATATTAAAGGTAGTGTGCCAGCTTTCCTGGATCGTATGGAGTTAATGGCCCAGATAAAGAGAACCGGATTTTTAGAACTTATCCATACCTTCAAAACTCATGGAAACGTCTAAAATTCTTCAAATTTTGAGTACCCCAGTGCGAAATTCGCCCCGACGCACTATGGTTGGAAACGGCCTCACGGATGGCCGTGGGCAATTTCGGAATATATGTATATTTGGGGTGTCATTCTGTTGGAAATTGATGAAATGTTTTGAATAGGGCAAAAAAATTTATTTAGTTGCACATTTAGTCTCCATTATTGTACGTGGAATCGGGAGTTTCTGATAGTGGCTTTTTTGGTGCGCCGTCAAAGGTTTAAACAACCGCGCTGGTGATAGCATGTGGAGTACCTCCATGACGTTGTAAAACTGGATTATTATGTATCAAAATAATCCTTGTTATGTTGGCTATCGAGTGGAGTGACTCTTTTTCCCATGCGTGTTCAAAATCAGGAACGGCATTGCATTCTGTTTGCAGTGTCACCACAGCAATATTTGCAAAATTACGTTTATGTTTCATTGGACATACAAAAAGTTCTCCATCGACCTCCATTGAGCTTTTTGGCAGAATAAATCTCTGTTCAATTCTGCGTAAGGGGAACGTAAAAGCAGACTGCGCACTTGTGCGCAAAATCGTCCGTGAAGCTTCATCTCCCGAGGCGTACCTACCCGTCGCTTCGTTAGCACCAGGTCGGCTCGTCAGTCTTGCAATCGCTTATCCTTATAAATGATGGTAAGAAGCAGGGTTGCGGAGTCGTGGTGGCGCCAAATCCGACTCCGACTACGACTCCGACTCCTGACTCGTTGCCATGACTCCAGCCAACTCTGTCTCCGACTCCGGACCCCTGCCAGTGTTTCGGAGTCGTGATGGAGCTGTTCCGATTCGGACCGACTCCGACTTCCACTGCGGGCTCCTGACCGACCCCGACTCCGACTCCGACTCCTGGCTCGTTGCCACGACTCTGGGCGACTCTGACTCCGACTCCGACTCTGACTCCGACTCTGACTTCGACTCCGCACCCCTCGTAAGAAGTAACTGCTCGCCCCTGCACCTGGAGTATGGATATCGTGCAAACGTGTATGGATATCCTGGAGTATGGATATGGATATCCACCGACAGAGCAGACATACAGACATGCTGTAAACGCCATTACACTGCCAATACCATGGCAAATCAAATGGCTATCTATGGTTTTTGATCATCGTTCTACATTTTCCAAAATATTGAACTGAATGTTGGCAATTTCTCGTGGTTAGGTACTTCACGACCATGATGCATGCATTTCTGAAATTGATCTTTTTTCAACCAGCCACGTACTCGTATGATAAAATGAATGTCACCATCGTGTTCTACGCCCAAAAGTACCCATAAAACATGTGTCATGCATGGGCTGCGAATAGGTACCAGTTTTAATTTTCGGGGTTATGTGCTTACCTGATTGACCTGACTTTGACCCTGGCCAGTGGCCTATGTTTGACTGACCCCTACATTGATCTGACACTCTTTTAGCACTTATATGAAGGGTTGTGACAGTTGTGACAGCTGTGACAGATTGTTTAGGACCAACTGATGACTGAATTTATTTAGGACCAACTGATGACGATGTAATCGAAACGCGAAACGCGAGGCACCGATTGCGAGGTTCTAAAGTCCATGCTACTGAAAGCCCGATTTCAAGTGTTTGACCTGACCTTGACCCGACCTGTGACCTCGAAATTCAACTTTAAAGTATTCATGTGAATCGTCTCGTCGCGTTCTTCTTTCGTTTGCCGCGCCTCGTGCGTTTCGCTGCGCCTATTTGTTCGCGAGTTATCGGCTGGGGGCGTTGAACGCCCCCCCCCCCCGGCAAACGGCGGATGGGGAAATACCCCAGCAACTACCGGGTTAATCTGACGCATGTTTTGTCATTTGATCGTCATTTTATTTCTTACTTTTTTGCCCAATCTAAAAAAATCATAAATACTCTTTCTCCAAATTTTTGACCCTTTATGACCAATAGTAAGACACTGTGCGTCACTACGTTGATATTTCTCGCCCTAAAGCATAACAACAATATCCATTCAGTAAAAGCAGTATTCAAAACATGTTCAAAATGCCTCGCGATATCGATAACATAACGAAAGACATAGGCGACTTATAACATACTTGCAATGATGACGTCACACACGCGTGACGTGACGTGACCTCGTCATTTCTGAGTTACTGTATGATGCACGAAAGACACTGGTATACCTATGCAAAGTTTCATCGCAGTCGGTCTACGCATTAACAAGTTATGGGCAAAACATTTTTTCGCGTTGACCCCCGGCCATCCGTGAGGCCGTTTCCAACCATAGTGCGACGGGTTGTCGGTCGTACCCCAACCACATTTCACACCACTATGAACAATAAATGCACACACTGAAATCGCTATTACCGATATGCTCATCCAATCAAGTTTCGATAAACCCGTTCATCATCATCTCCTGCGGTTTCGAACACGCCTGTTAGGTGGTGCGGTAGACCGCGCCCAAAGCCAGGGCCCCGGTAACGTGAGGTAGCCGAGTCGGGTCAGCGTGCGCTGACCCAAGCCGGGGCCGCGCGTCCTCCCGGTGTCATGTGATAGCCCGGGGGGATGCGGTAGACCGCGCCCAAAGCTGCGGCCCCGGCTTGGGTCAGCGCACGCTGCCCCGACTCGGCTACCTCACGTAACCGGGGCCCTGGCTTTGGGCGCGGCTTCTGCTCATACTTTGTGGTGCGGTGGTGGTGCGTCGGGCCGCGCGCTCTGACTTCGGCCAAGAAAAATGCGTCAGCTGATCATTGTCATTTCTGCCACTTGCGTGTGGTGAAATGGGGTCATAACTTAAGAGACGGCTTTTTCATATCAATTATTTTACATAAAATAATATTTCAAACCATAAATAATGTTCGACAGCCAAATAAAAGAAACAATACCAATACAGGCTTACAGTTTAAGGCTCGACGACATTGTGTTGTCTACGATTAGACAGCTGATAACTCATTCCCGTACGTCGTAACTCTATAATGACCTTTGCTTATTGTCACATGTGCGCCGCATTCGCGATTGTTGCCGACGCCTGTTTGCAGCTCAGCCCACTACAGTTGTTATACATATCGAAAAACCGATAAACTTTTAGGCGAAAAAGGCACTATTCCAGGCCCATTTTTGATTTTTTTGCGATATTAGGTAAAAACAGAAGCTTCTTATCCTAGGAAAAATAAAATGGGAAATCTTTCAAAGGTGGCACACTACCTTTAACACTAGCGCGTTTGTCGGTGAAAGTCACCCGATTGCGATTTGGTGGAGGCATAGCATTTGATTCAAAGCACTAGGGTCATGGTAAATGTAACGTTATTGGCCCTCGCCTACATGACAAAGAGGGTCATTTTCGAGTGGCATGCAATATTCCAATGAAAAAGCTCACATTGCTAATTGGTGTGGTGTTCGATCATCACTTCAGTATCACTGGCCTGCATGGCCTTGGTCTGACTGTGAAATTGTGCATGAGTGAGGGTCGAGAGTGGCCTCTGCGACGCCGACTGCCGGTCTGTAGGTCTGTTACAGAACTCGGTGAAGGATCATTTTGTAGATGTGTGCTGTGATACATTGTCATTTGGCTAAAATGATTAAGGATAAGGGGTCGTTGATTATGAATACTTGGTCTAAAAATTTTGAACTTGGGAGGAAATTCAGAGGTTTTAAAGTCGGAATGAATTTACAACATAATTCGTCAATGAAAGTGATCTTTTCGCACACCTTGGCCAACAACCTCTGAACGGTTTCTCCAAGGCCATTTAACTACGTTTCTCAAACTCTCTTTATCCTCTCTCTCTCTCTCTGGCCTGTAACCTCTCCATGTGCTCTCCCCAGCTGGAGGCCGATACGGCAGAGCTGCGCCGCATTCGTCGCCAGCTGCGTCTGAAACTGCGGCGCCATGGGCCGACCGGCGAGGACGGCGTCGATGGCGGTCCGTCGGCCTCGACACCGGTCTCCTCCACCGGGGCGGAGGTGCAGAGGTGAGGGGGAAAGAGGGATGCAGAGGTACGGTCGGAGGGACATGACTCCTCCTTTTGGAGAGGGATGAAATGCTGGAGAAGCATGGCGCATGCTTCCTTTTTTTGATACGGCAAAGTACGTGTGCGTTCATGAATTGTAATACGAGCTATTCTACGACATACGGCTACAGCTCAGCCACTAAACATATAACAGGTACGGGGACCCGCATTTGCTACTGTACACGAACCCCAAGTCTAACCGTCTGTCCTGTCCAGTAACAACCGATAACATTGATATCGACTGCCGGTCCCTGTATGTACAAGAGCAGCTGAGGTTTTCTGTGCGTGCTCTCCGACAGCTTATCGTTGTTACCTGTGTGTGTGTGCTGGGACAATTTACTCAGGGTCGCTGTACAGTAGCAACTGCGGGTCCCCCTACCTATGCATTGAATTTGCTGTTGTACGCCATTCACTGGTTCCACCCCGTCCTTCGCCTCCGTTCCACAGAATCATGGAGCAGAGCGGCGACCTCGACTCTGAGGTCAGCGACCCGGGCCAGTGGGCCAGGGCCGTCGACCAGCCCGGCTTCCAGGACAACGTGTCGGCGCACAACGTGCTCAGTCTGATGCTGCGCGCTCAGATACCGGAGGTAGGCACAGAGGGACCTAACGCTGCATAAGCTGAGTTGTGTGAATGACATTCGTGTGGTTTTCGTCTCATGAGCCTCGATCTTATCAGGTGACACATTTAGCGACACACAATCGTACTTACTCGTACTTCACCGTTGTCATACTTACCACCACCCCGCCCCGCACCTCTCCGGCAGGTGTCTATCCACCTGGATCGCTCGGGAGACGCGGCCGACCGTCCCTACCTGCTCCTGGTAATCAGCTCGCTGTCAGTGGAGCTGGCTCAGCTGCGGTACGGCCCGGCCGCCCAGCTGACCCTCTCCGGCCTGCGGCTGGTCGACAAACTGCACTCGACCAATGGCGGCGAGTATCTGGAACTCATCAGCACCGCCCAGCAGCGACAGCTCGTCTCCGTGCTCTACAGGAAGGTGGGTCTCGAATATGGGCTACACAGGAACGGGGGACCCGTCTTCGTGCTGTATGTGTATAATATGATAGGGTCTGTCCTCGTGCTATGAATGAAGGGATGGCTATTTCCGCTACACAGGAGGATAGTGCTTGTCTTTTGCTTTTCGGAGAGATAGCGTCTGTCTTCTCTATAGTAACTATTCTAGGGTTCTCTTTCGGCAAGCAGAAATTTTCTCTGATCTCTACCCTACTTTAGTGCTGGCCTTGACGTTTTCTGGTTTTGTGACGATTTCGAGGACATTCCACCTCAGTTTATTTCATTCTGAAGGCATATCGAACGTGTTCCGCTCAGGTGAGCCCCAGCTGCCCGGAGTTCAGCACCGTCTTCCACAGCGTCGAGCAGAGCCTGGTGATGGACATCGGCACCATCAACGTGCTCTTCCACCGCGGCGCCGTCCTCACGCTCGTCAAGTTCCTCCAGTACGCCGGCGAGCGGTGAGTGACGGAAGTCGGAGGGCTCGATATTAAGACGCTTTTGCAATAATGTTTGTTTTGAATGCTCATTCATACATTAACCGCCTGTTGGTTTGATGCGTGAGGTTGAACCATGTTTTGCTAAGAAGGAACCTTTCTATGTACATAAAAATGTTTCCAGAATATTTTCATGTTACCCTATTTTTCATCAATCAACGTTGACTAGCCTCATAACCATTTGTTGTGAAGTCTAAACGACTGATTAGTGTCTCTCCCTCCCATCAGCCTGCCATCGAAGGCCCTGTCTGTGGCGGTGCCGTCCGCCGCCGCCGCTGCTCCAGTCGCCGCCCCCGTCCCCGCCCTCACCCCGGCCCCCGCCGCCGACGGGCCGCCCACCCCCGCGGGCGCCACGCGGTTCAGCGGCTCACTCCGTCTGCAGGAGGTGGTGGCGCGGCTCTGCGACACCGACTCGGACTTTGTCGAGGTCAAGGTCAGTGAGTGATTAGTTCGCAGGGGAAGGGCTGGTTGGAGAGGATTGTGCATGTTTGCGCTGTGACGACCGTAATACATGTGCGAGACTCCTACATGTGTTAATATGTTATGTTGTGATTTATTGGAATTTTAGACTGCATCACGGACCTTCTTCGTCATTTGAATATGTTCATGAGTTCTAACGTAACTCATGCATTCCTACTATTCTGAAGCTTGACCTTTGTTTTGGCAGGTGACTGGAGCAGAAGTGGACGGCCAGCTGAAGGCCAACGATAAGATGATCCTGAAGGCTTCCCTGAGCGAGTTCACCATGGAGGACACGTCAGAAACCACGCTCTACTCAAAGGTCAGGCTCTGACTGTTGGCCGTCTCAGCAGCCAGAGGCTTTCTCTCAAACCGGCGATGAGCGAGTCATGATAAACCATCTCTGTCAAACACATCGTGCCAAGCCACAGATAACAGTAGCACTGCAGCCGCCGGAATCCTGTTTCCAATCCAGTACTACTCTGTGGCCAAGCTTATAGTCGGGGAAACATTACATTTGCTTATTATGAGATGTGCAGCTCGCTGCTGCTGCTAAATATGAAAAGTGATCATATTTATGTGTTTATCGTTGAAAATGTTACTTTACCGCTTATGACCCAGTGCAACATTAGACGCGTCCTTACTTGCTCGCCTTTTTCTCCCCCCCCCCCCCCCTCAGATCATCTCTATGGAGGACGACAAGCTGCTGGAGTTGAACGTGTCGCTGATGACCGGCGGCCGCTCGCCGCTCGATACGGACCAGCCGGTCAAGCCGCAGGGCTCGGTCCGACTCCGGGTGGGCCGGCTTCACGTACTCCTGCTGCACAAAGTGGTGGCCGAAATGCAGGTATGTGTGCGCACTGCGCAGGCTCGTGACGCCATTCTTATTTTTTCCTTTAAAAGGGGAACACCTCTGCTCGCCAACACGCAGTTGGGTAGCCGTGGGCTTCTTGGTGCGCGTATATGTTGATGCCTCCTAAGAAAATAGGCTTTCCTGACTGATATTTCTATCTGCGTTTGTTTTTATTTTCAGAGTTTCCTGGCTCCCTTCGTGGCCGCCGAGCTGGGTGGCTGGGCGGCGCGTCAGGCCGAGCGGCGCCTGGCTGACGGGGTGGCCGGAGTACACCGTCAGGCGCCCACACTCAGCCTGTCCGTGCAGCTGCACGCGCCGCTGCTCGTCATCCCGGCCCACTCGCGCTCCAGGGAGACACTGCTGGTCAACCTCGGTTAGTTTGGTGGTCTGTGCAGTGAAAACGTGCAAGAAGTTGTTTAGTCGAATTCCTTTGCTGCTTAAATCAGTTTCTTTCTTTGTGTTGGCTTTTATTATTCCCGAAAAAATAGCGTCTGAGCATAATCAGATGTCATCGTATTTGTTTTAGCTAAAATAAGAGACCCTTTGGATGACCTCAACTGCAAAGCTCCTGTTCGTTGTTCTATGTCTGATGTAAGCAACTCACAACATACGCTCTGACTACGTATAATTGGCGATAATCCAACCCCGCTGTCACCCACTGTCCTGCAGGTGACCTCAGCGTGGAGAACCTGATCAAGCTGAAGGAGTCGCCGTCTCGGCACGTCATCGACAACATCATGATCCGGCTGCGGGACATGCAGATTAGCCGCGCCATGCTCTCCATGAGCGGCGACCTGGAGGTGAGATGACACGGCAGCGGCAGGGATCGTGGAGTGTGGGCTGGAGTTTATGGGCGGTGCGAGCGACTTAAGCGAGTGTCATTTGAGCGAAAGTCATTTGAGCGAACCATTTTCAGCGATTGGCAACTTAGCGAATATCAAATTGAGCGATTATCAAATATAGCGATTATCAATTTAAGCGAAAGCTATGTTTCAGCGACATCTTTTTCGTCGACTACAGTTTGAGCGACTGTCATTTCAGCGAAACACTTCATCGTCCCGTAACGGTGCATGCATTTTTCTTTCTTTTTTCTTTTGCGAGCGTTCGTACAACGAATGTTTCCGGAACTTTTCATGGTAATCCGGAACTGGATGGCGGATGTCACGTTCAAAGTTCAGACATTAAGCTCCAAATTTAATGCCACATTTCTCAAAAATTTCAGCGGTTCGATTTCACCCCCCCCCCTCCCTCTCTGCTGTTTGCCAATAATGATGACCAAACGTTTGTTCAGAGATTCATATTGCTTGTGCTGTGTTTGCGGAATTCCCCCGCTTGAATTTGGATCAGTTTAGAGTTGCAAAGTTTTCCCCAAAGGCTGCTACCGGCACCGCCCCGCCCCACAAAAATTTTCTGGGATACCGGCATGCTACCACCCCCCAAGCAAAAAAACCGCCAAATTACCGGCATACTAAAAACCCTGCATTCTTGATTCTAGCTGACCCCTGCAAGAGATGCCACATTTTGGCAGTTTCAGTGCCCCTCCCACCCAACAGCCATCCATTGTCCAACCACAAATACCAGCAGGCTGATTTTGGCTGAGTTGGCCCCACAAATACCCACAATTTTGAAACTCCATTCCAGTCTATACCTGTTAAAATATCACCTGTAATCAAAGAAGTATTGCCTACAAAAAGACTATTACATTCATCAAAAAGGTGAGGACAAAAAGGACTTGAATTACTGAAATGTGTTTTTGAAGACTGGACAGTGAGCAGTAATCACATTTACATTTCACAGGTGTTCTACTTTTCCATATTCTCCTAAAATGTTGCAGGCACCAGCCAAATGTTTAAAATCTAGATGGTCAAAACATAGGTAAACAAGTACAGATTCGGCCATCTTCCTAACTGAGGAAGCGAGATCAACATCTACTTTTTCCTATCAACTATGGCTTGCTGGTTCGTGAATAAGATACGAATCATGTAAAAAAATGTGTTAATAACTCACTGGTCCTGAGAATAGTCACCAAATAATATGTATAAAACGATATCTTCCATCCTCTCCAACCTCAAGCGGGAACAAACACAAAGTTATCGATTTCGAAACAGATGCGCCATAACAGAGGCTTTTAACCAGCTGATTAAAACGCTGCAAAAAAAATGTTTAACGACTGCAAGCCACTGCCTCGTGAATGATTATATTGATAAAAATTATCCAACACAATATTAAATTATAATGAAATCAACATTGTAGTGTAATTCACTGCAAAGAAATTCATTTCTCTTCAGTTATTCAACCAAAAGGGTATATGAATAAATATTACGTCATCAAATTACATCCATTCATTAGGGGAGAGAGAATCTTAAAAGTAAATCCTTGGTTGTCTAATGATTTGCGCCACTTTTTGTCAATTTTGCCTGGATGATGTGTTTTCCTGTAAAGATAAGACAAAATGCCAGTTCAAATCCATTTTCATTTAATTATGGGACCTAAGTCAGGCTCAGGGCTACCTAACACCTGCCTTTTCAGCTGGATTTTCAGTGTCAAATTCTTTGTAGAGTTTCTCAGACCACATCTCAAGATCTCAGGACTCAAGGCCAGTTTCCAAACATTGTGTTTTTGGGTGTTTTGATTCTGCCTTTTCCCCTAGGGAATGTTGTCATTAACATTTATTTATTTTATTGTGCTATACGTATTACCTACCATTAGACTTACTAGATTATCGTGCTTTTGCAACATAAATGAGTATTCTTCCTTTTATAGACCACAGTAGATTCTTGACAATTCTAATTATAACCAACCTTGTGAATTTAGTGTGAAATGCTGAGGTCCATGTGTTACCCCTACACTTAGCAATGGAACTTCTACCACAAAATGTATCTTGCAGTGGCTAATATTGCTGTTACTACAATTTGAGAGCCTCTTAGTGTCCAAAGTTTGAATTATTTGCTGATTTTTTTTTTGCACAAAATCAAAAATACCGGCATGCTACCGGCAAGACATGCCAGATACCACGAATAAACCTGCGGTAGTGAAAAATTACCGGCATGCCGGTAGTGCGGTAGGGAAATTTTGCAACTCTAGATCAGTTCCCCATGTTGTAAAATTTGTTCTTGCCCCAAGCAACGTACGAATTTCCAGATATTTGGGTTAGGTCCCTGAAACATAGACTGGATCCCCCTGTGCCATCCCTCGAGTTTATTATTGGTCCTTGACATTCCTTCCATCGTCATATCTCTCACGTTCCACATTTCCAGATCAAAGTTGCAGAATGAGGCTAGATATTTTTTTGTGGTTTCCATGCTTAGAAGCAAATTTTTAATTTTGCCGCGCGCAGCTTGAAGCATGACACACACCAAGCGGGTATTCCAAGGGCAAGAATTCCCGAAAAGTAGCAAATGATTGACTTCCGTCGCGTTCGGTTTCGCTGTACCTAACTGTGTTCGCTCAATTGGTCCCCCATTGACCTGCATATATTCGCTCAATCTGGTTTCGCTGATTCTGGTCCTCGCTTAAGTTGATAATCGCTGTGATTGAATTCGCCGACTTGACAATCGCTGAAAAAGTCAATCGCTTAAATTGATAATCGCTGAAAAGGCTTCGCTCAAATGTCGTTCGCTGAAATGACGCTCGCTCAGGTGTCGCAGAACCGTTTATGGGAGGTGGTACGATAGACAGGGTGACGGTCGTCGTCAAGCTTCCGGCATTGATGATAGAAGACTATGATTTGTACAGAAACGTGCAGACTGGCCTCTTTCTGCAGCTCAGCTCCTTACTTTTAACATCATCAAATTGTTACAACCTAGTCCCACACTACCCGACTTCATGCACTGCTTTTTGATCAGCGTTCCCCTCTCCGCTCTACTCACAGATCATCGACCCGATCCTGGCTCCCACGGAGCTGCGGGTGGACGTGCAGCGGGCCGTGTCCCCGGCGCCGGCGGCCGTGCTGCCGCTCAGCGTCTCCGCCAGCCTGGAGATGCTGCACCTGGACGTGGCACAGAGCGACGTCACCCTCGTCTACAGCGTCATGTCCGAGAACCTCGCCGAGGGACGCTTCTCAGGTCAGGTCACGCATACGCAAATCAAACCTGCCGCTCTAATTCATCAGTGTACTTTATCTACATCCTGACTGTCGCCATGACTAACGTACCTAGCTGTACATTGAAGAACTACTCCTCTCCCCGCCAGCAGAGGAGGGCTGGCGGACATTCTCTCCGGAGCTGGCCGGCCCGGCGGCGGCCGGCGCTCCCGCCGTGGACGAGCTGGTCAGTGAGCGTCTGCAGGTGTTCCTCTCGGGTCAGGCGCGTCCGGAAACCTCCGTGTCAGTGGCGCTGGACGGAGCCGCCATCGTGCTCTATGAGGACGGCGGCGCTCAGGTAGGTGACGCCTCCCCAGAGAAGGAAACTCGCGGAGTATATACGTATCATTTAAATGAAGGAAGTTTAGGATTCGGTTCCATTTGTGAGGTGAACTTCGTACCTTAGAGAGCCTCCATTTTCGCTGCTCACAAATTCATTTAGCAGACTGTAGAAGCGACATTTAAACGCTGTATATGTCGTTTCACGGTAACCAAAACAATGTATTCACAACGATGTTAGCCCACTTAAGCGTAGAATCCACTCTCCCGGTTCGCGCTATTCTCAGAGTCTAATTTTCCTGGCCCCTTTCTCCCCCAGGCGGCTGACTCGAGCTCTCCGGCACGGGACGAGGCGCACGCCCTGCTGCGCTGTGAGGTGGGCGAGGCGCGTCTCGAGCTGGAGCAGTACTCTGACCGCTCTCTGTCTGCGCGCGCCACGCTACACCAGCTGACCCTGGCGGACGCCCGGCCCGATAGCCCGGCGGCCGTCAAACGGTGCGTATCGGGGGAGAGGTGAATATAAAAGGTATATGTAGCAGACGGGTAGAGATGCTAGCGGGACCAAGATTGCTTTACTAATAGCTGGACGACGTGTTACCATTGGGTTCACATCGATGATCTATTCAAGATCAAGAACACGTAGTCCCGGCTGGCGATACCGGCTAAGGTTTGTATTACCTATGTCTGTTGTTTGATATGTGTGGATGTACCAGTATTGTGTATATGCGAGCTTGCTTCCATTTTGTTAGGATTAACTGCTGCTCTCCTCCCGTTTGCCCAGTCTGCTGGAGTCGGCCACCCCCGAGGACGGCTCTCTACTGGAGCTAAACTGACACTAACTGTCCTCTCTGTCCAGTCTGTTGGGGTCTGCCACCCCCGAGGACGGCTCCCTACTGTAGTTGAACTGACACTAACTGTCCTCTGCCTGTCCAGTCTGCTGGAGTCTGCCACCCCCGAGGACGGCTCCCTACTGGAGCTGGTGGTGGAGCGCGCCGCCTCCGGTGACCAGACAGTGCGTCTACTCATGGAGAGCACCCGGGTCACGCTCTCAGTACCGTTCGTGGCGCTCATCCACGGCTTCTTCAGCGACGCGTGTCCGCCGCCGGCCGCCGACCGGGCCGGCGCCGGCGCCGCCGCGCCCGTCTGGAGCGACAAGGTCAGTCTCGGACAGTCTCAAGTGAACTAAGCGAACCTCACTCTTTGATAGCTGTGAACAAAATTGCGCCAACAGTTGAACACAATGGCGCCTTGTGAAGCCATTACTCCCATCATCACTGCGTCGCCCTTTTTATATAGTTTTTGACGTGTTATCCGACTGCCTGAGAGCAGCGTCGGTGTCTGTGTTCGTTGTCAGATGCCGCTGGACCACCCGGGCAGCCCCAGCTCCACGGGCAGCACCAGTGGCTACCTCTCCGATGCCAGGACGCCGGTCGTTGTGGAGGAGACCGGTGCGTCGGGGATGAACTGTACATGAGCCCGCTGGTAACAGGAGATTCGATAGACCCTGAACAATTCCGCGTTGAATGCTGCTATTTGCGTGAGGAATCGTATTATGGGCATATTTACAATTGATGACTGAAGTAATATCGGTGAAGCTGATAGCATTTTATCCCGCTTTTTATAGATCCAGCTCGCCGATCTGAATGACTATTTAGCGCTATGCTTTCATTTTCTTTTTTGGCCCTTCACTACTCGTCACCCTGCTCCTGTTCACATTTATCCCTCATGTTTCAGGCCTAACGATGACTGCCCAGCATGACACCCCATAGCAATTCGTTGACCTTTCCCTCTGCCCCTCCTCGCCCAGGTCTAACGGTGACTGCCCAGCTGCGGACTCCCGAGCTGGTCCTGCTGGTCGACCCGACGGAGACCACGGGCCGGCGACTGGTGCTGCGGGCCGAGGTGGCCGCCAGCTATGTGCGCGCCGTGGGTCAGAGGTCCGGGTCTCTCACACTGGCCGGACTGCAGGTCAGTAGAGGACATTCATGGTTCGTATTGACAGCCAGCAAGGGCAGCGGTCGGGGTCACTGACACTGGCCGAACTGCAGGTTAGTAGGGGACGCGCACACAGACCCTACAAAAAAAAAAACGGCCAAGTTGTTGTAGCCTTGGCTTTGTTTGGTCTAGGATTTAAATTATGTTTCATTGCCGATTCCAGCTAGTCATGCAGGCTAATAGAAATGCTCAGTTATATAATTGCTCTCTGGCAACACTTTGGTGATAGGCATCTCCACTTGTTTCCAAGCATTAGGTCTTGAATGCGGTCCAAAGCCAGTATATTTCTCATCACGTTCGCCAGTGTGTCCCCGGGATGCTGAATCCGACTCTGGCCGCGCTGTCTTACCCTGACGTCCTCGTCCCGCTCTCCTCAGCGGTGCCGCAGCCGGCAGCACTGTGTTACCCGGACCCTCTGACCGCCCTGTCTCTCCATCCCCAGCTGTGCCGCAGTAGGCAGGGCTCGTCGCGCCGTCTGGAGAGGGTCGTCCTGCAGCCGTGTGATCTGTCCCTGTCGTACGCCGCCTCGGACGGCGAGTCGGCCGTCACCATGGTGCTGAGCGGCAGCGAGATCACCGTGCACCTGGTGGAGGCCGTGGTCCGCACACTGGCGCAGGCAGGTCAACCGGAGGAGGGAACAGGGTGGGAGGGATGGGATGAGTCGATTTCACAGCTTGGTGAGCTGTATTGGTTCTTTTGGACAATTTTATGACAACTGACCCCTGTCCGCTGATGGTGAGTGGTGGCGAGACACTCAACATTATCCATATCTGGTCAGAGTTTGAAATCAGACCTCCCCTGACCCCCCCCCCCCTTGCAGGTGGTGTCTGACGTGCGTCTGACGATGGGCCGTCTGCACGCCGACTGCGAACGGCCCACCTCCACTGACGGAGAGCCGTCCAGTCCGACTGCCGACAACATCTGGCTGCCGCGTGCCATCGAGAAGCCCAGCATTCTGGACGAGGACCCCGGTGGGTGTGGTGGATGGAGGTAGACCTTCCCCCCGCCACCCCAAATTATCATCGGATCTGTATCGATCTTAGGGGATGCTTGGTCGTAGTTTCGAGGGGGCGGGGGGGCAGTTGTCCCGCTTGTGCTCCTTAGCGCCGCCAATGAGCACGATTTTAGTCACCTTTGAAGACGAAAGTCTATTTTGTATTGTGTATTGTATTTGTATTGTGTTGTATTGTTTTGTATTGTATTGTATTGTATTGTATTATACGTTTTGCTGACCTCAATTTCAATATTGCGTGTGGTTTTGTCCCAACGACATCATTGCCAGATACACATTTGTGATGACTGACGGTGAGCCCTATCGTGAGCTTATGTTAATTTGATACACCGAGTTACAACCGTGTATCCTCTATACACAGGGGAACACGGCTGTTCGAAGCCCGCCTTCCCGACCAAGAAACCGTCCGAGTCGCTGGAGATTCGACTTCCGGAAATATCGGTATGTATTGATTTGATGTTTGCTGCGTTTTTTTTTTTTTGCATTTTTTCATAGGACTTTTAGTACGGTACAGAGAATCCGGAAAAAAAAAACAATTTACCCTATGAACCTGAACTATCATTTACAATTTTTATGCCACTCTGGATATTTTACGATGCCTTAGCAATGCAATGAGAAGTAGGGTTTCCGGTAGTTTAGTAACAAACGCAGCATGTCAATTGTCAGGTATATCGTACAGCTTACAGCTCTGTCATTTTTTGTTGTTGAGCTAGGCTCTTTCGGTCGAACGAGACCATTTCAGAGCCGGAGTGATGATAGGAATTATGGGGAGACATTGGTCTGAGTGGGTGTCCTGGTGCTCTGCCGGGGCTGGGCCCATTACTGGACAGGCCATCAGCCCCGCGAACTGCCACGGCACCCGGTTCCGGGCCTGCTCCGGGGGTGGAGGTACTATAACAACTACCAAAGTGCGCGGCCACTAATACCGCATGTCTCTCAAGACAATCCATATTCAGCCCGGGCTCAGCCAAGGTTCGGGACGCCTCGGGCCCGCTTTAAACTGCCACACAACATAGCCTATGAGGTGTAGAATGCGTGACCTAAGTTATTCGTCGTGACTTCTAGCTATTTGGCCTACAGAGGTCAACAAAGCTCCAATTTGGAAGGGGAGAGCGGGGTAACATGGCCGCCCCACCTGTGCCTTAGTTGACAAAGGCTTATGAAACAAATCTAGTCTGCAATCATTTGTCATTGCTATTGTCTCTATAATGAAAGTGTCACAACTTTACCCTTCGTAATTTTGATCGAAACGTTCCACAGTTTTTTCCCGTTTCCTCGGCACGCTTAATTTCTTTGTTGCCGATGTTATATTCTTCTTCTTCAATGTCATACTTTTCGTCCTCTGTTCCCGGTTTCTCGTTCTTACGCGGTCATCCCCGGGAAGTATTTGACCAGAGGATCAGATGTTCCCAGTACCTAATCATAATTCCTGACGGCAGTGTCTGGGTGTCCGCAGGTGGTGTTTGAGAGGTTCCCCGTCATCATGGTTCACTCGGTATCTCCCCAGTTTTGATAACGGTGTCTGGGTGTCCACAGGTGGTGTTTGAGAGGGAGGAAGAGGACCAGAGGTTCCCCGTCATCATGGTTCACTCGGCCCTGGAGGGTCTGGTCTGCGACTGGAGTCAGCTGCCCTACATGAAAGGTAGGGTGGATCTGAGCTTGTATTGTTTATAGTTTGCTTCATCTGTTGGTGTTTCTCTACTCCGATCATAGACTGGGAAGTTTCTGAGTGATGGATGGTGATTGAAGGAAAATCAGGTGAACAATACCTAGATAATGCGATCCATCTGCTGAAACCAATGGGACTTACGGACCAAAGTATTTGGATTACTGCCACCTTATCATTCCTATGTTCTGCTCTCTGCCCACAGGCGAGATCCAGCTGCAGGTCTCAACGTTCAGCGACGACATCGGCACGTGGGAGCCGCTGTTGGAGCCTGTGCTACAGCAGGAGGAGGCATACAGGCCCTACGAGGTCCTCTTTAAGGTCGGTGACATTTTGATCACTAAATAAATGATGCATACATTTTTTTCATTTTTGCAGGATTGTGAATCCTTTCGTTTTTAGTGCGTAAGCTAGTCGTTGGATGCGTGTATACAAGGCTACTGACGTTCGTTCGTTTATGTATCGGTATGCAATGGTTTATGAAACATAGTATGCAATAGTTATTGGTTATTCATCGTATCTGGATCACAACCAAGCTCATCCCACGCTGGTTCCGCGCCCTTCACATTATTGTCGCGCTCCCGACCCTCAGGTGTTCCGTAGCGGCGCGCACCCGATCTCTTGTGGCGCCTCGCTGCCGGAGGACCAGCCTGACCACGCGTCAGCCGGCGGCGGCGGGGTCAGCGGTGGCGCCACAACCCTGACCGTGCCGTCGCCGGGATCGGCCACACCCAGCTCCGTGGACTCAGATACAGAGACAGAGCACAAGATGAGACCGATTAAAACAACACGCAGACTGTCGCGGCGCAGAAAAACCAGTGAGTCGGGAGATGGACGTCGGTGGAAGTTTTAGTGCGTTAACATCTGTCTTATTGTAGAAGTCATAAAGGAACGGTGCTGACGAGGCCTCACATGCAGGCTAGATCTATGTGTCTTGTGTACCCTGCATGTCGATTGCCATTACGTGCATCCGTTTCCAGTGGGCACTTTTTCATATGAGCGTGGACTGGCAGCTGTGACCTGGGTGTGTCCATTCTCTGCTGCAGGAGCTTCCACCCACATCGTGGGCTCCATGATGAACTCCGATTCCGATAGCGACGACGGTCTGATGGAAAAGATCGCCGCCGCATTCGGACATCTATTTTCCAGGTAAACCATGGAATGATGATCGGCGCGATACCTTTGCTCTACGAACGAATGATGAATTTGACGCACATTCGTTTTCTCATAATAGGAACAGGTTTGAAAACTGTCTATTTTCGGATACTAATGTTGCACGCCTTCCAATCACAAGTTATGACTGTCCTCCGCCATTGTTCTAACACACGATTCCTCCCGTCCTCACACCACCAGTGATAACGAGGACGGTGTGGAGGACGGGGAGGAGGCGGACGAGTCGGACACAGAGCACCCGGCGACGGATGCCAAGGCCAAGGCCGCGCTCCAGGAGCCCTCCCAGGACGAGCCAGACGGTGAGACGTGCACGGGGCTGTATTAACCGCGACCTCACTGACTTATGGCGCTGTGTATTATAATTTGTTATAATTTTTGGTGATTGTTTGTAAAGCTCGTCTTATTTGATAAGCAGGCACGGTAGATAAAAACTCGCCGTGGCTCACACCTCTCCCGGCGCCCCGCAGGTCCGGAGGTGGTGGTGACCCCTGCGTCGGTGCCCTCTCAGCTGGCCACCTATGTCCTGGTCGAGTCCCGAGACCCGCTGGAACTGACGGTCACCCCGCAGGCCATCAATGTACTCAGAGAGGTGAGACATCGGACGATGGACCGCGGCAATGGGGAAGATGTGTGGGTGCTGGCCGCATAGTGGACGTCGCTGAATTTTGGCCTATTTGGGCGTTTACGGCTGAACGTAACTCGAGTTAGCTGTTTAAAATTAGTTCCCAGGTTTTCATGTCTTCTTCGAGAGCCTCGAAATAATTTGTCTCATGTAGTTCTGTATATTTTAGTTCGTTCTGTAAAATCACAGACTTTATATCGCTCGCTGTCGAAGTACGTGTCGAAGTACGAAAATATTCAATAAAATCGAGCAAACAACAAACAAACAACAACAACGTGCTACGTTGTGTGTACCGTGTGCACTTAGGGGGCTTATTGGATGTGTTTGGTTCAGGTGGCCAAGTGGACGACGGATAAGGACGATGATTACACGGAAGAGGGCCGTCAAATGACCTGCAAACTCGGCCTGGACATTGACAACCAGCTGGGAGGCGACTTCTCCGTCACCGTCGTCGGAAAGGCCAAGGTAGGAGTCCCGCGATGTTGTCAGTGACAGTTGATAGTTCGATAGTTTTGAACCGTCAGACGAGTGTGTGGCATGTTCACTGTTCAATGCAAACTTATATTGAACGTTGATGCTATCGTTACGGAAGCTTAGTGGCGTAATATGATAGGTGTCTAATTCTATCCATACAACTCATTAAATGTACCTTTTTTCTATCGCTTACAGTCGGTCACTGCTGCTATTCTATAAGCATCAGTTATAGTGACAGTAATTACGTAGTCGAGTCACATTGTAACCCCCGCCCACTGTCCTATCAATGTCTCCCCCAGGCGGACCGTGTGAAGCATGACAAGCTGTGTGACGAAGTGGTGTTTGCCACGCGCGATGTGGTGCCGGGCTCTCCCCGCAGCACCAGCCCCACCCTGTCTCTGGAGCACTGCCATCGCAGGTAACGAGCCAGCGGGTGGATGTGTGGGATGAGAGGAGGTACGTACTTTTCCTTTGTTTACACATCGAGCTTACTTAGTATTCTTATGGGAACCCGGAGCAGGTTACGGTTATTTCGGAATAAAAATACCTCGCGCATCACGGTGAGTGTATTTTTACGGTGATATCTGTCATTATATTCTTCAACACTTTGATCATAGATGAAATTGTCAATCACCTCAGTGTTCAATGCTAAGAATTGTGTAACATTTTACCTCACCGTGGATTTATCGGCCACAGGATGAGCTCCGGAGGCAGTAAGATCGAGGAGCTGATGAGCTCTGTTCTGACCACCGTCACGGCGCCGGTTAAGTTCGAGGAGAAGACGCTGCCCGAGCTGTACAACCTGGCCGTCAGGCAGAAAATACGCATCGAGGCAGAAAGTCAGTCAAGTGTTGAATTCTCTACAGGGCGTATGCAGATTAAGATTAATGTCTGGTACTTTTAGCAAATCAGAGCAAATGCTTAGGCGACACTTCATGACACGTCATTCTATTCCAGAATGCGTAGCCAAATTTCCCGATTCTGCCTTTATGTATCAAGGTTTGGGCCTATCGTGTGTATGTGTCCCTATTCTGGCTTTGAATAATGTTGTCGCTTGTCAGTTCCACCTTTCCCTGGTATGTAACGCTCTACCTGTCTGTTGGTGCAGACTTTGAGCCGACGCTGGCGCTGCTTCCCTCCCGCTCCCTGCGTCGATTGGTGGCGCTGCGGCGACGGGCGGCTGATGGAACCGTCACCACCTACCAGGCTCTGATGGAGCTCACCGCGCGGGGTCAGCACAAGAGCGTGCGGCTTACTTCACCACTGCAGGTTGGCGTGGGGAAGGGCACGGCCAGTGGGCTGGGTAGGGAGAAAGGGATGTCTATAGGGCTGGGAGTACATTGTTCAACTGCAGCTGTGTTGTTTTATAAGCATTGTTGGCCGATTGCGGTTCGTCCGGAAAAGCTGTGGCATGTGGCGGTTTGTCTGTACGCGAACGGGCCGAGCCACTAACACCGTCAACGTACTTTTGTCAAATATATGTTTTCAAATATAACCTTATGTTCAATGATTGCGAAATGCAAAAGGTTCCAAAATTAATTACAAAATGAATATATTTCGGACACTGTCCTTCTTCAGTTCAGAATTGCAAATTAAATCATTTTGTCACAACAGCGCCAGAATATGTCGATAACAGCTAAGTTAGGAAGTCTCACATTGGCAAATTCTCGCGCAAAATAGACAACCATCTTACAGTTGAAATGTTCACAAGGTACCCTTTCATATAAATATAATACATGTGTGTCCACAATTTACACATTAATTCATCCCTATCATCTATCAATCACTAGACCACAGCATCTAGTCGTCTATTCAACCATCGAGCCATGCAATCCGTCAAACATCCAACCATCCATGTACTCACACATCACTCAGCTATAGATAATTAGACAATCAAGTCATCAAAGGCCACCATCTTACATCAAAGAGCATAAGTACCGTACCATTAAACCATTCATACAAACCTCGAAACAATACTCAATCGTTCAATCATTCATGTTCATCCATACATTCATACATTCATTCATTCATTCATTCATTCATTCACTCATTCAATCATTCATTCATTCATACAATCATCCAATTATTCAGTCCTTCATTCATTCATTCATTTTCTCACACACCATTCATCAATATGGTTGAATATAAAAGCCACTTGTCATCAATACACACATGATCAGTGAATCAGTGGCAAAGGCATCAGAACAGAAGACGTTACAATAGCGAAGTTGTAAATGCTAGAGTACTACAGGACAGGATCAGTTCCTCATTTCTTTCCCTTGGGCGTTACCCTTTAAATGATGGCCCAGGCCGCTATGTTGCTGTTTAGAGCTGGGCGAATCTGTTTGATCCAAAGAGACTCCGCTATTTTCCTGCCTCTACTGTCATCGCATGCCTGCAGAATCTTTGCCCTTACATTATGGGGTCCCGGCCGACACTGGGGATGCTGTGTTCGGAAATGCTCGCCCCACGGGGAGTCATTCCGCTTGTTTTTAGCATCTCGCAAATGTTCGTTGTAGCGGAGGCGCACCGAACGTCCCGTCTCACCAACATAACTCTGGTTACACAGTTATGCTGGTCTCTTTGGATCAAACAGATTCGCCCAGCTCTAAACAGCAACATAGCGGCCTGGGCCATCATTTAAAGGGTAACGCCCAAGGGAAAGAAATGAGGAACTGATCCTGTCCTGTAGTACTCTAGCATTTACAACGTCGCTATTGTAAAGTCTTCTGTTCTGATGCCTTTGCCACTGATTCACTGATCATGTGTGTATTGATGACAAGTGGCTTTTATATTCAACCATATTGATGAATGGTGTGTGAGAAAATGAATGAATGAATGAAGGATTGAATAATTGGATGATTGTATGAATGAATGAATGATTGAATGAGTGAATGAATGAATGAATGAATGAATGAATGTATGAATGTATGGATGAACATGAATGATTGAACGATTGAGTATTGTTTCGAGGTTTGTATGAATGGTTTAATGGTACGGTACTTATGCTCTTTGATGTAAGATGGTGGCCTTTGATGACTTGATTGTCTAATTATCTATAGCTGAGTGATGTGTGAGTACATGGATGGTTGGATGTTTGACGGATTGCATGGTTCGATGGTTGAATAGACGACTAGATGCTGTGGTCTAGTGATTGATAGATGATAGGGATGAATTAATGTGTAAATTGTGGACACACATGTATTATATTTATATGAAAGGGTACCTTGTGAACATTTCAACTGTAAGATGGTTGTCTATTTTGCGCGAGAATTTGCCAATGTGAGACTTCCTAACTTAGCTGTTATCGACATATTCTGGCGCTGTTGTGACAAAATGATTTAATTTGCAATTCTGAACTGAAGAAGGACAGTGTCCGAAATATATTCATTTTGTAATTAATTTTGGAACCTTTTGCATTTCGCAATCATTGAACATAAGGTTATATTTGAAAACATATATATGTCATAATGCTGTTCATACAAGTACTTCGCCATTTACTTACTTTTGTCAAACTCGCTTCCCTGAACCTCACGTTCGGCGCACCGTCCCCAGGTGACGAACGGTCTCTCGGCGCCCGTGTCGCTGCTGTTCCACCGCGCCGAGCTGGCCGGCGCGCTGGGTCTGGTCGAGGAGGCCGAGGAGGCGGCCCTGGCTCTGTCGGACGGAGACCGGCGCCGCCACCCGAACCCGTTCGGGTCGCTGGCGGAGCTGCGCGTCCTCCAGCCGGGGGAGACGGCGGCCGTGCCGCTGCTAGTGGCCTACCACTGCCGGCTGCTGGTTCAGCCCGTCGGTACCAGGTCAGTGGGGAGGGCACAAGGTGTGTGCGGGGGGGGGGGGGAAGCTACGGTCAGTGAGAACAGCTGTAGTTAGTGGGATTACCAGGAATTAGTTTGGCGTACTGATATAGTTGCAACCTGCTGATAAATTAAATGTCTTATTATACGAGGGGGTATCGAAAAGTTCTGATCATCACCACGAATGAGATGTGATAGAAATTTGATTTTTTTACATGATGTTCATTGCTCCTTTACAAGTCACCACACACGATCGCAAACTTATTGCATCGTTTCTTGAGCTGCCTCAGGCGGTCATTGTAGGACCTTCGCACTGTCCCGTAAATCACTGCTCCACCTCATCAATGACGTCATTTCTGTCCTTAAATCACCGGCCATACTGTGGATTCTTTATCTCCCGTAACAATCAAGAGTCAGTTAATACCCGGTCAGGTGAATTTCTTAGATGCGGTAGGATTTAATGTCCACATCATGTTCTTTCTTCAATCGCAGCTCAGGACGAATGGGCGCGAGCGCTGTCGGTGCGGATAAAACATCTTTCTTTGGCTTTTTTGCGGCGATTCTGCTTGAGGCCATCTCGCAGCTTCTTCAAAAGTGTGCAGTGGTGCTTGCTTATCATTATCCGACCATCATCAAGACAGTCGGTACTGACTATCCTGCGCCAGATCCAGAACACTGATAGCATTGACCTTCCATATCGGCTTCTGCATCTTCGCCTTTTAAGAAGGACATATGTGCCGTGCTTAAATTTCTTGATCATCTTTTTGTCTCTGGATCATGCACATAGACCCAGCATTCGTCACAAGTCATCAAATTATCGAAGATGTCTTCAATTTCCTAAAAAAGGCCTAGTTTTGATTTCGAAGGGCCAAGACGCATTTTTCTCTTGAACAAAGTAGGCACACGAACTTCTAAGCGGGCTGACTCCTTTATCGTCTGTAGTTCTTCGCTGATAATATTTTCAGGCACTGCCAGCATTGAGACCTTTCTGTTGCAAAATCATCTGAAAGGTCACACGACGATCTGTAAGGATGAGGTCCTCCACTTCCTTCACAGTCACCACTTTGTCAGTCACTGGTAGCCACTCACTTCTTGACTCCCCTGCAAGGGCCGTGCAACCAAGTTGAAAATTATTTCTTCATTTTCGGTAAGTGCATGAGATGGGCTTTCCTCGCCATAAACTGATTCCACGTTCTTGATGTATTTTCTCAGTGTGATACCGTTTCAAATGCATTAGTTGGATGACGGTTCGGTCCTCAATGGGCCCAATACTCATCTTTTTTACTTCTAAGTCTCTCCTACATAAGATAAAACCACTTCTCAGGATTCTCTTTGCGGGAACATTGTTCTTAAGAGCCAAATATAATACCAACCAAAAATAATCAAGATCAGTCTACATCTTCTATGTGATGATCAGAACTTTCCGATACCCCCTCGTATTTCTAGTACATTTCGACATTTCCTACCCAAAAGATTCACTTCCGTAAGATCCTTTTTCTACATATCACCGCCTGGTAGGACGCACACAATTTTGGGACAGTAGAGGCATAGGGGACCCGGAGGCATGTCTTCTTTTAATCGTACCCCTCTGCACATATTCATCCTTTATAACCGTCATTTTCCTGCATGTGTGCACCATGAGCACCTTGTAATGAACAGGTGCCACTTAGCTAGTGATTTCTCATTTCACCATCTGACGATCACCCCTGTTCATGCAAGCATGTGTTTCTCCGTCGTTCTGATCTACCCTTGTGTACTATCAGAATCTATTCCATGCTATCCCTGTGTTTTCAGCCCCCTAGATCGGTGAGCTGCCGGCACCACTGGACGGTAGTTCCGGTTCGGTCGTCAGTTCGGCTCAGTATCGTCGAGAACCTCAGACTTTTCTCAGTTCTCTTTCTGCTGTCGCTTTCCAAGCATGCTGCCTTTCCTGCTCTCTATGATTGTGGAAACAGTTTCTATCTGGGCGTTATAAAGGGAACATATGTATCTTGGCCTAGCATAATTAATTACTGTTTCGATAAAATAAAGAAAGGTAACCTCTTTGCTGTTCAATGTTGAAAATTGCTTATGGAACGTGCTTTGGAGGTGAGTAGAAATGTTACGAAAAAAAAAAATACGGCAGGTCTTCAAGTACACTCGCTACTACGGCTGGCGCATTCGCTATGATAGTAGGTACAATTGCCTATACAATTGCGATGCTTCGGCTACATCGTACATGCTTTTTATGTCGCATAATGTATTGTTCAGTGGGTAGCAGAGAATAACGCCTTTGCGCAGCGAGCTGTACAGGAACACAGCGAGGGCGTCTTCCCGAGCGTCTCTGTGCGGAATGTTTCCAGGTGTGAGAAGGCTACGGGCATCTTTCAGCTTTGCCTTTCAGCAATCTTCTGGCTTCGCAATGTCTCGTTTGTTGTGCGAAGTCGGTGTTGTGGTTTGCGTATGCGTGCAATGAGTGTTGTTTAGCGAGTTTTGATATTCTAAATAAAGTTACATCTGCTCCAAGATTAGATAAGTTGCCAGATTAGTTGGTTGCTAATTCGCGATATTAGTGGTTCTCAATGTCATATATCGATTGCTGTTCCCTCTAGGCTTTTTTATATATCATCGAAAACGTATTCCTCCGTCATACGATTTCCAGTAATCGCACCCATCTCGTTGGCTCCCAGCGTATCACCCCTGTGTTGATGTTTGTCTCACGCCACCGGTCTCCCGTTCCTTCAGACACGACATCAGCGAGGGCGCCATCTGGTGGAAGGATCTGGTGAAGAAGCCGGGGCCGCACTTCCTGCGCTGTGAGCCCAGCTCGGGACACGGCTTCAGGGTCGTCTCCCAGGTCAGCCTGCGTTCACATTCTCCCTCATTAATTTTTCCTGTTTTCTTCCTTTCATTATTCCCCTCCTTTTTCCTGTTGTTTAATCTTCATGACTCCATTCGTTTCACATAGAAATAAATTAATACTTCTATAATGTTAAAATGACGATGAATCATGCATGCTCCCCCAGTGAAACGGTGGTTGTTCTAGCTTTAAACGATATCTATTACTCGACAGCAATCTCCTCCCCCCCCCCCCACTTAAAGCTCTTGCCCCCCCCCCCAGCTGACAGTCCCCTCCCCCTCCCCCAGCTGACGGTGTCCCGTCCCTCTCCGGACGAACTGTACGGCACGGCCGCCGGCCCGGAGCCGGACTCCCCCGGTGAGCGCGGTATGCCCGTGATGACCGTCCGCCTGCAGCCGGCCGTGGTGGTCCACAATCACCTCCCGACGGCCGCGCTGCTCGGAGAGTACGGCGTGCCGGCCGGCGGCGTCCTCAGACTCACGTCCATGGACCCCACTCATAAACAGGAGGTGCCTCTGCAGGTACGTAGAACTAGTGGAATGCATTTTTAATCTTTTACACGTTCGGTTAACATCAACATCAGCTGCTTAGTGCTTAGTGCTTATTCTTACTGATATTAGATCAGACTGTGAATTTTGTTTGGAGCGTAGAAATTATTTGGATCTGCAGCACAGAAGTGGCTCATTCTGATAATTGAGTCTGCTTTACATGCTGTTGTTACTTGTTGGCAACGCGAAACCCACGTTTCTAGGCTATACTTCATTCTTTAATCAATGCCCATTTTACCTGACTGCAAAGATTTGCCGATATCTTTATTGATCTCCGATGACTGACATTCCCCCTCTCCCCACGCCAGCTGCCCGGCTACCGCGGCACCCGCTGGAAGGGTAAGCTGGAGCTGTCGGAGAAGCTGCGCACGGGTGCCACGGCCACGCTGACGGCCGAGCCGGCAGAGCCACCTGGCGACGGCTGCGGGAAGCTGACGCTGGAGCTGCGCCGGCCCGACCCGGCCATGCTGGAGTTCTACATCAGTGTGCCCTACTGGCTGGTCAACAAGACCGGCCTGCCGCTCCAGGTCAAGGTCGGTGGACGGATGGGGCTGACCGGTGATGATCGCTTGTCTGTGGCTGATTCTAATGAAATGGAATATGACATTTAATTGCGCTTTATGTCTAATTAAGTCCTTTTTTGCCGAGCGGGTCTGGTTGTTTCATGTTGGTATGCATTCTGTTTCGCATATCTCGCTCTTACCTGCTAAACGCTAACACTCAAAATGTCGTCTCCAACCGCTGTGGAAAGTTCCCAAGTTTATCAGTCTTTCCTTGATCAGTTTTCCTTGATCCATCTGTTAGTCAGTCACATTCTCATCACCCACCACCCCTCTGACCTCCGCAGTGTTCGTCTGGCTCGTCCTCGTGCGAGCTGGTGCCCTCGGAGGAGCCGGTGCTGTTCCGTCCCCGCGGCTCCTCCAAACTGAAGCTGAGCGCCCAGCAGTCCTCGTGGAGTCCTCCGTTCAGCGTTAGTGCAGTGGAGACGGCCGGACTGGTGGTGTGCAGGGACAAGGAGCGACACACGCGGTACAGGTTCGTGGGAGGTGTGGGAGGGGTTGGGTGGGCGGAGGTCGGTAGATGTGGGCAGGTGGGGTTGGCAAATGGTATAACACGATTGACGTTTGGAAGATTGGGAAAATGGCAATTAACGTGTGCATAGATAACATGATTCATAATATCTACGCTTGCGAAAAATCCATTAGGCTGCTTTGTTGCAAAGATACTGTTTAAATGCTGCCGGAGAAAAGAGCATGCTTGGAAGAGTTGAACAAGGCAATGATGTGTGGTGCCCGATGTTCAGCCCAGCCCCGTCCTTCTGCACCGGTCGTGCGTCTGCCCTAACACCGTTCTCCCGTCGTCAGGATCCTGATGTCGGTGTCTTTATCACATCTGCACCCGACCAAGATCATCACGTTCAAGCCGTACTTTGTGCTGCAGAACAACACCCGTCACCACCTGCTCTTTATGGAGGAGAACGAGTCGGCGGACCTGTGGCTAGACATCGCCCCCAGACAGGTTAGAGCAGAGAGGGGATGGGTGGTGATAAAGCAACTTGATGGTATGGGCCCAAATAGCCAACTTGTGAAAGGCTTAGATATAAGATGGAGTTCAGTTGCAAAGAGTCAAAGCTGGCGCCCATACAAGCCGGTTGCGTCATTCGAGCTTCTTATTTTGGTTGCTAATGCTACGAATATTATAGGTCCACTTGTGTCCATCTCCCGTTTTATCCAAGAGATCACCGTCCAGTGTCTTGCCGCTGTGCCGTCAGTTCTATCGAGCTGTGTTGTGCGCGTTTCTAGGTGACGCCATTCTGGCCGGCAACCAACAGCCTTCGTCTGAGCATCAAATACCGCGACTCCCGGGTGACGTCACAGTGGTTTTCCATCAGCAGTCCGCACCAGACCACGCTGAGGATGGCCGGCGGGGTGAGTACCTCATAGTGACGTCGTACTCTGCAGGAGGGCGATGAATGTTGGCCGTGCTGAATGTTGACTTCTGACTCGTCCTCTGACCCCCCAGTATGGTCTGGTCGTAGAGGTGAGTTGTGACCTCTCCATTTCCCTCCCCCAGTCGGGTCAGGTGGTGGGAGTGACCTACAACGACGTACGCTGGCCTCTGACCTGACCTTTGACCCCGCAGTCGGGTCTGGTGGTAGAGGTGACCTACAGGGACACATACCGGCCTCTGACCTGACCTGTGACCTCCCTGAAGTCGGGTCTGGTGATTGCGATGATCTACCTTGTTCTATGCTGACCTCTGACCTGACCTTTGACCTCCGGCAGTCGGGTCTGGTGGTGGAGGTGACGGGCGGCGTCGAGACGCCGTTCCTGGTCTGTTTCGAGCCGTACACGGCCGGTGACGCGCCCGTCCGACTGGAGAACCTCTGTGACGACCTGTTCCTCAAGTTCCACCAGCAGTCGTCGGGACAGGTGAGGGCGCGGCGCGCCACGAGAAGGGACGCTGATAGGGGAAGGAGGGCGGCGTGAGGGAGTAAGGCTAATGTTCATGATAAGTTCAATGAACATATCCTACCTACCCACATCTACCGACCTCCACCCACCCTCACACTTATAGTATCGATTGATGTCGAATTGTCGACCATGTCATACGTAGTCGCCTGGCTATGTATGTGGAGTGTGACTGTCGGCGTAAAGGGCTCTGGAAGGACCATTTATGACCACAGTGACCTGATGCTGCCAGGTGATGCTGCTCGGCCCGTACCAGTCGATGCTGTACACGTGGGAGGACCCGACAGCCGAGAGGCAGCTCCTCTGGAACGCCTACAACAGCAAAGCTGTGGACATCCCTGCAATGATTGAGAAGGTAACTACATAAAACAGGCTGTTTAACTTCGTATAAGGACTTTCTTGTTGCCTTTTACTTCGCTTTACGCAGCACGGGTATTTTCATTTTACGAGCCAGCTTCTCAACACCTACTCGATCTTTAGTCATCAGTCATCACGTTCTGTTCGTGCTTTCCCAGGACGGTTTCGGCGAGGCGCAGCTGACGCTGCACTCGGTGCGCGAGAGCCGACTGGCGCGGCTCTCCTCGCGTCTGAAGAAGTCGCTCAACAGCAGCTCTCGTCTGTCCCTGGGCGGCAGCAGTACAGATGACAGTGACACAGAGACCAGTGAGCAGGCCACCACAGCTGAGGCGGCTCAGAGACAGGTGAGCGCGCGAGGCGAGGAGAGGTCACTGAGTCGTCTCGGGCTTGACTCCCTTCGGAGGCCCCGGGGTTTTTGGGTCCTTTTTTCTTTCTTGTTTTCTTTTCCATCCTCAGGATGCTGAAATCCTTCTCCACGCCGCAACCCCCCTCCGGGCTGGACAGGCACCTTTATCTCATGCGGGCTGCTCCCTTGGAGCGGCACGCTGCTCACGAGGGAGCGCATCCCGTAGCCGGGTGCAGAGAGTGCTGGGGGGGGGGGGATGGGGGCTGGTCGGCGTCTCTCAGCCCCAGCGACTCTCTAGGGTGCCTGCCCAGACCAATGTCTCCCCCTAATTCCTACCATCCTCTCGGCTCTGAAATGGTGTTGTCAGACCGAAAGGGCCTAACAGTTAACACAACAACAAAAAAGGGTCAGCGTTGATAAGGTTCCAAGTAGCAGTCTGGATAGTCGGTGGTAGCCGATCTACTGGATGAGTCCTGCATGACTTTTCAGGGTCAGGGTCAGGATTTTCCTTACCGTGGATAATGGTACGTTTCCTATTGGTACGGTGGCAACGCGAACCATACGGTTAAATTCCTGGATTACAGTGAGTTGGGTGTCATCCGCCACTGACCTACCCTCTCCCCTCGGTTACAGCTGCTGCGTCCCCGCACCCGGCGGGACCGCACAGCCGTGTTCTGGGTGAGCTACATGAGCGGCGCGCAGCGGGCGCTGCTGTTCACGCAGGATGAGCGGCAGGCCGTGCGGCTCCGACGACAGGTCGACGGCGAGAGGGCCAAGGTGGAGCTGTTCGTCTCACTGCGAGCCGCCGGACTATCACTGGTGAGACTTGGGATAGTCTTGTTTGGAGTATTAGGAATGGAACACTGCAGCTTTGTTTGTTTGTTGTCGACTCGGGAGGCAAAGACTTGGTGTGCCCTTGGGAGTTAACATTGGCTTTCATATAATTACGTACAAAATTGCACAGATATAGCAAAAGGCAATGCGTGGACTGAATATAGGCCAGATATTGCATATGCAGATTCGAGATTGATGTGCCGTTCTCTGGTTAACCAACTTTTTAAATTGTTTTGATCGACTAGGGTGGTTGTGTTGTCAAACCACGCTACCCTCAAGAGTCGACTCGCTATCATCTTCGCACCTTCCTAACCCGGTCCTAACCCGTTCGTCCCTCCAGGTGACGGCCGGCCGTCAGGAGCTGTTGTACGCCAGCGTCCGCTCAGCGCCGGCCGCCTGGCACGTCTGTGTCCACGACGACTGGAAGCCGCTTAACCTGGAGATGAGCGCCTGGATCGAGGACAAGTTCTCCAACGACCGCGCCAAGGCCAACATGAAGGAGTACATCGAGGTAGGGAGAGATATTTGGCCAAACACCAGTGAGAGAAATGTTTGGCTGGAAGTGCTTGTGTCCCGAGCTCTTTAAATCGGTTGCTTGAGGTGGCACAGCAACGCAGCGGTAGCTGGAAAGCCACCGCCAGGGCTCTTTGGTCTACCTACGTCATATCAAATTTGTGCTCTTGGTACAATTATTTTATTTTGGGTTGATAGATCGTGCAGCTATCTGCTATATTTTTCATTCGAAACATCGACATTTTGCTTAAATTTGTGATATCTCGTTTTTTTTCTCTCTCTCAGATATGATGCATAAAACGTTTAGGGGACTTCACCGATGTCAATACAATGCTGCACTTGATCTCCGACTACGCCGCTGCTCCTGAGAGCCAAAACTGAGCCGTTAATTTGTGTCCGTGTTCTCAGGTGGACCTGGCCAAGATGCAGATGACGCGTCCGTTCTACGGTCAGCTGCGGCGGTCCCAGCGGCCGGCCGTGTGGCTGCACCACCGGCGATCCAAGACGCTGCGATACGTCCTGCTCAGGATTCACCGGCCTCAGGTATGTTCGTGGACGGGGAAGGATGATAGTGTGATCGCAGGTGTAGTGCTGGGTTAGATGATGCTGCATCGCCAGCTGTGCCTTGGTGACGTGTGATGGTATTCCGGAAAACCTTTGTAGCTTGGTCTATAACCGACGTTACGTGGGATGTTTTCAGCTGTGTTCTGACGGTGCTCTGAGATTAGCTCTTGTATCCGTGTGGATTGATTGGTACTTGCGGGCTCTGTCTTTCGGGCATTCATTGCACTGATCGTTTCTGCATTTCCCCTAGGTGGACTGTCGGATCGCTGGTTCGGTGTTCCCGGTGGTTCTCTGACGGTCTGTGTTCTGGAGCGTTCTGACCTTCTATGTGTTTCCCTCTAGGTGGGCTGTCAGATTCCTGGCTCGGTGTTCCCGGTGGCGCTCTGACTGTGTGTGTTCCGGAGAGTGCTCTGACTTTCCCTGTGTTCCCTCTAGGTGGACTGTCAGATCCCCGGCTCGGTGTTCCCGGTGGCGCTCTGACTGTCCCTGTGCTCCCTCTAGGTGGACTGCCAGATTCCCGGCTCGGTGTTCCCGGTGGTGCTCCACCGCGTGGCCCCGCCGCGGCGCGTGGTCGAGAAGCTCGGTGTTCCTCCGTTCCTGGAGGCGTGTGTCCTGATCAGGGACGCCACCGAAAACGCCCCGCTCAACATCAGGCAAGTGTGTCTGATAATGCGATATTTATGCATCAATGCAACCTGGCATTGGTTATCAGTACTTCATAGTAAACAGTCTGACTACTCCAACCCGTGTCTCTGATACCTTTTTCTTTCCCGCAGACATCTGAAGGTTCTGGTGCAGGAGTTCTCTCTGGAGGTGGACAAGGGTCTGCTGGTGTCCCTGTTCGACCTGGTGATGCCGCTTCTGCCGCCTCCCCCGTCCAGTCAGATTGGACTCGTCCAGGACCTATCGGCCGCACATCAGCCGCTGGTGCCGGTCAAACCCAAGGTGGGGTTAAATTGGGTGCTAATTTACGGGTGACGAATGATCGTTACTTTAGTGCTCGGTTATGTGAGTATCATTGCATTTGATTGGCTTCTTTGGCTGTCGTAATTGTTCATCAGGAATATAAATCAAAAACAACGATCAATGCATATCATTAGGACGCTGTGTAGTGTATTTTTGTCGTTCCTAAGCTCATACTATGACTAGCCTCATTTACCAACTTAAACAAATTTTTCCACCCCCGACAGGCGCTGACTCGTATGGAGCGGGCGCTGATCGAGTTCGTGCACCTGTCGCCGATCAAATTGTCGTTCTCGTTCTCGCCGCGAGGGGCGCCACTGGCGGGCGGCCCGGCCGCCGAGGAGGCCGCCTGGAAGAGGGATCTACTCGGCTTCCTGGCAGAGAGCATTGGAGCACCCGTGACCGAGGTCACCGACGCTGAGCTCAAGTAAGGGTCTTTGAAGTAGCTGAGTACTTTGGAATATAACTATCCCATGTATTCAATTTACATTTTGCAGTGAATGTGTCTTTTAGGGCCTTAATTTTGTCTTTAGGGAAGACGGTGATCGGCTTTTTAAATTGTATTGAAATTGTGACAAATATTCTTTTTAAAAAAATGTGCCGTTCTTTGGTCATTTGTTATTGTTTTCGTATCATGCCGTAATCCCACCTCGTGCTCTCCCTCAGACTGGGCTACTTCGAGCGTCGCGGCATCACGATGACGCTGCCGGACCTGGGGGACGAGGTGAAGAACCACTACAAGTACCAGCTGCTGCAGGAGGTCTACGTGCTCATCCTCGGGCTGGATGTGCTCGGAAACCCGTACGGACTCATCAAGGACTTTGCGCACGGCGTCTCCGACTTCTTCTACGAACCCTATCTGGTCAGTAAGATTGCGGAGTTGTATAGGTTGACGGTATGTGGGCTCTTGAAATGGACGGCAGGGTCGATTCCTGTCAACCCGAATGCCGAGTAACTGTGTAAGAGGCTAATATATAAGGATGAACATTGATCAGTCACGTCCAGTCATCTCACTATCACTGACAATAAAGGATGTTCATTATAACTCTACATCAGCTATATTCTGGTCACCACAGTTTGTTTCCAGTGCGCCTCTTCATTCTGACTGTTGAACGCTTTTACGTAAGCACCTTAGCACCTTTCTCATCCCCGTCCGCCCGGTCGCCAGGGCGCCATGTCGGGCCCGGAGGAGTTTGCCGAGGGCGTGGCCCGCGGCGCCCAGAGTCTGTTCGGTCACGTGGTCGGCGGGGCAGCCACCTCCGTATCACTGCTCACCGAGTCGGTCGGTAACATGCTCTCCGTGCTCAGCTTCGACGAGGACTACAAACGGGTGAGTCGGCCGAGTGAGGCAGGTGATTTTAGCGTGATATTGCGGTGATAGTGCAATGTTATTCAGCTGAAGCCTTGACGCGGTAGATGGTAGTCCAGTAAGCGTTACGGACAAGCGCAAACGTATGCTACACAGATGCACTCCCTCCCTTTCTATGCGCGATCTTGTTTCCCCTAACTTCATCAGGCTCCCTCCACGAAAATCCGCGCCTTCAACGTTTTGTGCGTCTTCCCGCCTGCAGAAGCGTCGTATCTGGATGAACCAGCACGCGGGCCTGCCGGAGACGCTGCTGGCCGCCGGCAGGACGTTCGTCATGGGCATCGTGCTCGGGCTGGCAGGACTGGTGATGCACCCGTACAGAGGTAGGACCGGTGGAGGGGAGAGGGAAAGAGGGAGAAGGCATTGTGATGCACCCGTACAGAGGTAGGGCCGATGGAGGGGAGAGGGAAAGAGGGAGAAGGCATTGTGATGCACCCGTACAGAGGTAGGGCCGATGGAGGGGAGAGGGAAAGAGGGAGAAGGCATTGTGATGCACCCGTACAGAGGTAGGGCCGATGGAGGGGAGAGGGAGAGAGGGAGAAGGCATTGTGATGCACCCGTACAGGCATGAGGGCGATAAAAGAAAGATCAAACGGGGTGATACACTCGGAGCAAGGCCGCTGCGTTATTGTCCGTTTCCTGAAAATGGAATACCGTAGGACAAAGACATACCCTGACGTGTAGGTCTTTGTAGGACCTGTACAAACCTGAGTTACCCTGACCTGAAAGTTTTGGAGGCCCTGTTTAGTCTATTCTTATTCTGTTTCCACCCTACCCCGCCATGCCCCGCTCCCGCCCGCCTTGAATTCCACCCGCCAGGGAGCTGTGACGGTGGACGTGTGGAGGGCTCAATCTCCCGTGGTGTGGGCGGCGGACTGCTTGGGCTGCTGACCTTACCTGACCTAACTGACCTGACTTGACCTGACCTCACCTACCGTACCTGACCTGTCCTGACCTGACCTGACCTACCCCTACCCTGCTCACAGGGAGCCGGGACGGAGGTGTGGAGGGCTTTTTCCGCGGTGTGGGCCGCGGCCTGCTCGGCCTGCTCACCAAACCGGCCGGCGGCGTACTCGACATGGTTGCCATGGCGATGGACGGCGTGTCGCGCGCCGTGGAGCTGGGTGAACAGGTCATCCGGGCCCGCCTGCCCCGGCAGATCGATCCCAACACGGTACGATGGGAGGTGGTGATGTGATAGAGTAAGGTGTTCACAGTCTTCACTCAAAGGATATGGAAATATGTAGTGATGTGTTAGTACGGATAGATAACGGAAAGGGACTTATGTTCGGCAGACTTAGTTCAACCAATTCTGTGGCTATCGCCAAACCAAGGTCTCTCAATAGCCCTTATACCACATTTGCTCTTGCATCTGTTACACGCCGATACGTCTACGTTTACCCATTATGCGATATGCCTTCGATCTGGAGTCATTACTTCACCCTCTCCTCTTCTCAGGGTATTCGTCCGTTTTCTCCGTATGCGGCGCGCGGCCAGTACCTGCTGGGCTCGGTGTGCGAGGGCCGGTTGGCCCGGACTGACACCTACCTGGCACACGCGGCGCTGAGCACAGCCGAGCGCAGCGACATCTGCCTCGTCACAGACCGGTGAGGGGAGCGGTGACTTATTGGAGTGGAGGGGAGGGGAAGGCCTGGTGAAATATGCTTTGTCCGGGGGTTTACATACATGGCCAGGTCTGTATTTTTCTCTAAGATGGCAATGACATTGGCAATGAAGGTTTAATGGTGCTTTCTGTATCTAATTCCCTACTAACTAGTGTAGCTGAAATCTGGGCTAATGGGCCGTCTGACATCTGACTGTTCACTCCATGCACGTCCTGCTACTGGACTCGTCTCGCCTCTGGACCAGCTAGGACCTGGACTGGCCTGATGTCTGACCCTGACTCTAGTGACTCTGTTTCTGTTTCTAGGCACGTCCTGATGTTGGAGTCGTCACGCCTCTGGGCTAGCTGGGACCTGGACTGGTCGGTGCCAGTGGCGGATCTAGATGGCGTGCCGCGCGTCGAAGACAACAAACTCGTGCTCAAACTGAGAAAGGTCAGTGAATCGGAACAGTTGATTTGTTCGATCACTCAAAAATGTCGCTATCCGGGAAATGTTTTTGTTTGCTTCAGCATTGTTATTTGTTAGTGTCCTGATGTATAGCATACCTAAGCTAAGAATAAGCTTGGATTTTGTGTACGCCACACCGCCGCGCTCTAGTTTCTACCCCTCACCTGGCTGTTCTCTGTCCCCAGACTGACAGCCACGACTGGTTCCGAGTGGACAAACGCGTCATCGAGTCGGAGGATACCGTGCTGCTCCACTGGCTTCAGAACAAGATCGAGCGCGCTCTGGTGCTGGGAATGTGGTAGTCCAGGGTTAGCTGGTGCCACCGAGGGGTGACAACAGACAGCGGGGGATGTGCGGTAAGGGTCAGAATCCGCCGAATTAGCGCCAGAGATCGACCATCAGCACCTCGCCGCTTGCCAGTTTTCTATCGCTACTGCAGTGCCGCCAGAGTTCCACTACTGTTGTTTATGTCGGCTTCTCTTGCGCCTGATATAAGCGTTGCCTTGTAGTCGTCTTCAAGAAACGCAGTTACGAACCTTGCTTCGCACCGGGCAGTGCTGGACTGGACATGTTTGCTTAGAGTCTGTTCCATGCAAGCGATAAGTATCCTAACTTTGGTGTACCGGCTGTTTCACGTCGGGACACAGTCGGATTGTAACGTTCGATGTGACGTCATGTTGTGGCGCCATTGCGTCACTATTATGGAGGGAGGCTTTAATGATTGGTGAAGACTGAAGAGTCGGGAAGTCTCTTTGAAAGCAGCCTATGACCTATCGGTTAATCACTACATTGTGACGCCACTGAAGCGTCTTTCGCCCTGAGATATCGGATGCAAATAGCTCTAGGTATTTATTGTCCTTCGGCAATAGGCTTTGCAGGTGTTGTTGCAGCCTAAGAGAACTACGTCAAGGAATGGTCGTTAATTTCCTGAAAATCTTGCTCGGAAATAAGATTGATGTTTTACAGGGTGTCCCAAAAGTAAGGTCATGATTTAAAACTTAAATATCTCGAGAAGTAAGAGTCCGAATCACTTCCAATTTTAACACGTGCAAGGTACATCCATAAAATTATTTTCTTGCATGCCTAAACCATTTTTGATCATAACTACACCGAGCAGTAGGCATAAAACTGAGAAGGTCGAAATTCAACTCTTAGAGAGGGTCCGTCATTAAAACAAAGGGTAAATACCGCCCAGTTTTCGGCCCTAAGCAGACCCTATCAGCTCGCCCTATCTCTGAACTCATGCATAGTTTCGCCTCAACCGGTAAAACGTCAGAAAAAAGGTATAACGTACGCACAGGGCATGTATACTTAGCCACCAGTGCTTCGAGGTCCTGAGGACGACAGCGGGAATCGGGTGAAAATAAATCAAGAGAGGTGGCCGAGAGTCCTCCCAGTGGTTCTTCCGCTCGTCGCAACGCAGCTGTGCCGACACCATCAACCTGCAGTGGTTTCAGCAGGATGGAGACTATGCTTGCACCGTCCTGAAGATCATGCATTGTCTCCGAGAGTGGATGTGAGATCGCGTAATTTTCAGTCAGGGCAACGCCATTGAATGGCCTCAGCGGGCACCTGACATTACACCTTCATATTTTTATTCTCTGGGTACACAACGGAAAGGTTGTCTTTTAGGACAACCCAACGAGCCGGGAAGAACTAAAGGATGATCCCTCCGAGCAAACATAAGCGGCATCTCACCAGAGAATCGCTCCAGAATAGTGGAGGAAGTAAAACGCAGGTCTATTCATGCACGCGGCCCGAAATGGTAGCCATGCAGAAAAGCAGCAAATGTGGGGCTACGAGCCAATGTATTGACTCATATGTATATCAGAATAAAATTTTATAAAATGCTCTTTCATATCATGTCCTATTTATTTCTATCCATCGCGTATTTTTGGCGGTGTGGCCAAAACAAATGATGACCTTACTTTTGGGACACCCTGTATGTTCCTTGAAGGAGTCATTTTCCTGGTTTAATACCTGTACACTGTACTTAGCTACGTATAGAAGACCTTGGTATTTAAGTGTAGAGTGCTGTGTTATGTGCCGCGAAAAAATGCGAGGTCTCGCCGTATGGGGATTGATGTATCAAGTAGTATTTTCGTAGATGAACATATGTAATGTGTAGTCGAATTTCGGAAGTTATTTTTGCCGTGCCTAGTTGTTAGTCTTGTAAGTGGATGTGGCGAGCCTGAACTATGGAATGAGGCTTTCCCTGGATGAACACACTTCAATTAAGGATCTGCGTGCGTTTATTTCGTACACACCGACCGCTTTCAGTTTACATCATATCGTTTTGTTGATATTAGTTATTAGCTAGTGTTCGTATTGGCGCCAGAAATACCTACGATCTATAATGTATATGCTTACAGGTGTATAAAGATCCTATTTAATCTTATTTAGTCGATATCACATCATCAAAAGGTCGAAATATGTGTCGTTTTCGACTGACCATTCGCTGCGAGACGTGTGACTTGTCATAGTGTGTGTTGGGTGGCATGATCTGAGGCCAAAGGCAGTGAGGTCGGTGACCCTAGTCGCTGTACCAGTTCACACACTCTATGCACCTGGCGACCCTATGCGACCTGCCTGTATCTCTCCCAGTCTAGTCATATGCCCTTCCGCGGTGTGCCAGTGTGTTCGGGTGGCCGCGCGTTACCGATCCAGCGATAGGAATGTAGGGTTCAGCACACGATACCTGCCGACCGCCTCTAAGGCACGTGTCGACGGCCGGCCGACGGGACAGAGATGGGTAAGATAGGCGGCATTTGTGAGGGATGACGCCATCGGCGGTGGGCCGCGCGCGGCGTGCATGGGGCGGCGTGCCGTCGGGTAACGGCCTGTGCTGTTTTGGGGTGGCGAGTGGAAACGGTTTATGTGAGGTGGTAAGGGAACTTGGGTTTGCTGTGTAGACCGGCTTTTGCATATCGTATTCTGTAGATTATGTTAGTTTGCTGTATGTGCTTCGCACGTCCAATAGCCAAGACCAATCTTCCGCAGGGTTAATAATATCACGGCTTTGGACCACCATGTTCCGTAGTTACGTTCCGATTCTCTTTTCAGTCGCCAGTCATGATTACCACTCAGGTCTGCTCATTTTCTCTGATCGCGTCTTGATGTGCGTGCCTCGCCTCGGTTACTGACCTTCCCATGACACTTGGTCTCTCCCTCTCTGAGCGTCCCCTCGGGTCGCGGCCGTCGCTGTATCGCTGTAACACTAACGCCGTCACCTGTGAGACCAATTTACCGCGTCGTCGCCTGGTGGCCCGCGGCCGTCTCCGTAAAATCGCCGGCCGCTCGAACGGGGTGAAAGTGCGACCATTTGCCACCGGCGCGCCGGCATTGTCGACCGAAAACAAACGGCTCCGTGAGGCCGCCAGAGTCTCACTCTGACCGCAGAGAACCGGGTGCGCTTCGCGGCGAGCTACGCTCCTCGAAGACACGCTTCTCGATAGCCTCTCGGGGAGCGATCGAAGCGAGGTTGGTCGTGGGGTGACCCCAGTAGTCCGTACGGGGAAAGCCTAGTGTGGGGTGTCGTGGAGAGGGCTAATGGGCCGTGAAAGTGGGGTGGGTACGTGCAAAGGGCTTTGTTCGTGTGAGGGGCGGCGCTGAAGCAGTGTATGTAGTGTGTGCTACCGTGTGTGCTGTTGGTGTCGTGGCGGAAGCGTCACTATGAACGGGGTATCTATGATGAATATATCGTGTATGACGTCAACATCAACCGTTTTATTAGGAATTATGGTGACTTGATATGGTTTACAAAGGGATATACGAGGTGGCATGTCTTTTGAAAAATCCGCAGTAATCTGACTGGTGAACCAGAGCAATCAGGTTCGTCGCGGTCCCTATTCGCGATTACATTTAAGCTTCGAAAGGATGCCAGCGACGATTAGTTATCATGAACGTCCTTCTCTGAAACGCTGAACTCAAGTCACAGTAGTCTGAGTGGACTCAATAGACTAATCGTTCACCGCCTTCGAGGATATGAGTAACCCGCTGCTCCATTTTATCTCGACAAATCTGCCGTTTGATACTATCGGGAGCCTAATCGAAGGCCGTCACGGTTACATTGGGTAATAAACCTTCTGAGGCCGTCCCTTGATGTGTTTCCTTGACCAGTATCTGGGTTATTGGGTGTCTGGTCAATTGACTTAATATTCATAGTCGGTGTTGGAAACCGTGGTGATGTGCTTGAGCTAGGCTAGCGTCTTCCCGGTGAGGAGTCTTGGTTAAATGGCCAGTGGTTTTTAATAGCTGGGTGAGCTGAAAATTGACCTCTCTCGCTCTCTCCTCTCACTCTTCTCTCCCTCTTTCCCTCTATTCCGTCACTCTACCCCGCGCCACAGAAGCGCCGAAGGTATGCCTCGCCACGCTCGACCGCGTCTGGTACCGCTAGCGGGGCCTCTTTATAATGGCCGTGTATCGTGGAACGACCCGTGTTGTGAGCAGCCCTGACTCTCTACCTAAATACCAACGAACTGTTGATATAACGTTCAACTCTGCCGCACTTCGCGTGACAACCGTATGTAACCGGACCTAATGCTAGACGAAACGGTGTCATCGTGATTATGTATTTATTCATCGTTCTGAATCATAACAGCGATGACTGAATAGCCACACTCGGTCATTGTCTCGCCCCGCCGAGTATATGCTACCTCCTAGACGTTGTTGAACGGTTGTGATGCCTAGGATGGTGGTAGGGTGACTGTTACTGCGTTTCAATGAACTCTGGCAGTGGTTCGATAGCGAGCTGACTGCACCGGTAATCGATAGAGCCAGCTCCGCGGACCGGGGAGCCAGGGCTAGACTAGACCCACAGACGGCGCAAGTGAATCTGGAGTGCTATTGGAAAATCAATGTTTGGTGTATGTATGACCTGTGCCTGTCAGGAGTAGGACGGAAGACCCAACCCAAACCACCGGGACTCACAAACCGTGCTGTGCCAAAAAAAAAAAACAGACTGATTTGACTGCTGAGATTTATCCGCGATATTGATATCGATACCAGGTAGGGGGAAGTATGAGAATCGAGGAAAGTATGAGAAATCGGCTGCGCTGCCGCACTGCCGTCACGTCAATGCCAATGGATAATCGTTATGAGCTTCATATCTGTTTTTCTCGGCGTCTGGCTAGCAATCATGACGAAAGGAAACCTTGCTGGCATGCTCGAAGACACAGGACATTGGCGCTGGAGCCGGTAGTTCGAACCTCCGGCCCATCTTTTTGCGGCGGTGACGGGCAGGTGTCGGCTCGTTTCGGTCCAATCGCCGGTGGGGGGACGGGCTCGTATCGCCCCGCTGTGGCCGTGGGATGGGGAGGGCCGGCGGCGTCTGTCCTCAGTGGGGCGGCAGCCGTGTGATGCCGCCATACGGCCGTATATCCGACAGCTGGTGGCCGGCGGACGATGGGCGCGGCGCGCCGCCGCCGCCGCCGCCAGTGGTGGCTCGCTGTGCGGCCTGCGAGCACGGTCGACGGCCGGCGGCGCCGCCCGGAGCCGCGCGCAGCCCCCTCCGCCGGCCGGACACGCCCCGGCCCGGAACTGAGATCAGTGGGTAGCACGGTGGCATGGCAGCCGAGCCGGCCCCGCTCAGTGGTCGGCCCGAGTGGCAACAGAAGCTGCTGCAGAAGAGGAGCGTCTCGGCGCGGCCGGCCGCCGGCAGCGCTGCTGGAACGCCGCCGCATCGTCCGCTCTCCGTTCCGCCAGAGCGGCGCACGAGCGGCGGCTCTGGCTCGGGCGGGACGGCTCCGAGCCGGCGCCGCGCCGGTGCGCCGCCGGATTGGAGCGCGGCGCGTGGCGGCCCGGCCGGCGGCAGCAGTTGGTCGCGAGACGCCGACCGCGCGGGGTCGGCGCCGGTGCCAGTCACGGAGCACGGTGGGCCGGCGGGCGCAGCGCCGACGCACGGCAGTCAGCACAGTCGGCGCAGCCAGCAGTTCCGCGCAGACACCAGCGACGCATGGCGCAATAGGGAGCTGAGGATGGGCGTCAGTGTGGCTCCGAGTGTGGCGACCGGTGTGCGGCGCGGCTACCCGCGCTCCTACAGACTGGCCGGCCGGCCCGGACACGAGAAAATCACCATGGAGGACTCGGACTCGAGCAGCGAGGAGCTGCGCTATGGGCCGGGCATCGTGTCCCGGCTCAAGGACCGCTACATCTCTATGGCGATGCGGGAGGCGACCCGACGTCCGTCTCTGCGTCGGGTGTCCAGTCTTGAGCACATTGCCAATGCCACGGAGGAGGCTAAGGCAGCTGGAGCGGGGCGGAGTGGTACCACTGGACGTCCGGGTGGGGCGGCGGTCTCCGCCCGAGGTCGGGGTCGACTCGACTCCATGAAACGAGCCAAATCTGTGGGCGACCTGACCGCAGCGCGGCCTTCCGGTGGCCAGCCGCTGGCGGACGGAAGCAGGCCACTGCAGCGTCGAGACAGGAAGGAGCCGCAGCCACCGCCGCCGGACGCACTGCCGGAGAAGATAGTCATAGTGGAGGAGTCGGGCCGTCGGCCGGCCGCGCCGCCTGTCCTGGTGCCGCCCCAGGGCAGGCCGGCACCGATGGCCGAGTCTCCGCCGCCGGGCGAGGACGCCCTGCCGCCGCCCGACACCGTCAAGACGGTCAAGAGGCTGTTCGAGCCGTCGCCGCGGCGTCCAGCGGTGACGCGCACGGTGCAGGTCAGCTCGCGGACCGTGGCAGACCGGAGCGGCAGGACGCGGCGCACCTCCCCGGCTTCCCGGCCGGCGCCGCTCTCCGCCCGGCCGGCCGTCAAACCGGCCTCGCCGGCGCTCAAGAGCTCCAGCCGAGAGAAGGTGGCCGCCGGGACCGCCCGCGGGCCTCCGCTGAGGGCTGTGCCGGTCCCGGCGCCGTCAGCTGCTTCCCCTAGCAGTCCTCTCTCACCCCCAGTGAGTCAGAACCATGACGGACGGCGAGCGGCCTCTGAAGATGTGCCCGACCTGGCGCCCCGCCGGCCGGAGAAGCTCACCTCTTGGAGCCAGCTGCGGCAGAGCAGTGTCAGTGAGGGCACTCAGACGCCCAGTCCTCCAGGCACCCCCTTGGTCATCTCGCCGGTCGGCCAGCCCTCCAGTCCGTGCCGACCGCCGGCCGCCCTGAAGAAGTCCCTCTCTCGCGAGTCGAGTACCGAGCCGGCGTCACCCTCCTCGTCCCCGATCAGACGCCAGGTGGGCATCATCAAGCCGAACCGCAAGGTGGAGGCTCGGACGGACGAGTTCAGCCGGCGCAAGAACACGCTGAACCACGTGCGCAACAGCGTGGTGGAGAAGGAGATCGCTGTGATCGGCACCGAGTACCTGAAGCGCCGGGAGGAGGAGGAGCCGGCGCCGCTGACCAAGCCGGCGCCGGCGCTGAACGGTGCCAGGGAGACGGAGGAGAGCGCACCGCCGCCCGCGCTGCCGCCCAGGAAGGCGGTGCTCGAGCCGACCAAGACGCTGCCGCTGACGATCGATACCGCTCCCCCGCGGCCGGCACCCTTCCAGGGCATCATCCTCAAGCCGGTGCCGAAGTCGGAGCTGGCTCGCCCCGAGGAGCCGGCTCCGTCGCCGCCGCTGAAGCCCAAGGCCCGGCAGCCGGAGCCGCAGCCGCCGGCTCCGGAGCCAGTCAGGGAGCCGGAGCAGAAGACTGCCCCGCCGTCCCTGGCCAGACCTCAGCTGGTCACTGCGGCTGTTACCCGACCTCAGCCGGCGGCTGTGACCCGACCTCAGCCGGCGGCTGTGACCCGACCTCAGCCGGCGGCAGTCAACCGACCTCAGCCGGCGGCAGTCAACCGACCTCAGCCGGCGCCAGTGGAGACCAAGTCCCAGCCGGCAGCGCCTGCCCCAGAGATCGTCAACAGAGCTCCTGCGCCGGCGAAGCCGAAATGGCACCAGGCGGCCGACACCACCATGACGTTCAACTTCACCAAGCGCCAGGAGGTGCCTGACTATGTGGAGGACGACGGCCTCATCATGCGGCGCCAGCTACCCAAGGTGAGTCCCCAGACAGGTCACGAGAGCGTGACTCGGTTTGCTTTGCCAACTGCTAATGCTGTCCGAGTCCTGGAACCGCAGCATAAAACACTACATGACCGGTTTCTGATCATACATCCTAGAATGTATGCATCTTTGCTGAAGCTCTTCAAAATCTAAGTCTGCGGTTCTCATGCTCGATCTTTCATATGCAGCTAGCGTATTTTGGCATGGTGCATGAGCGTGGTATTTAAAAATTCACCGACCAGTTTTTCGGCCATGAGAACGGATTTGGGAACTGTCCGCCTTCAACAAGGCTGGTGTCTGAACCTTACTTTGGTGTAAAGTATGTAGCCGAGACGAACACATCCTTTCTGAAGTCGTAAAGCTCCCAGTAATCCCAAGTTTTCTTGATTCGTAGAAAGGTTTATTCATGCGAACCAAACTGTCCTCAGTCAAGTCAAGGACGCCGTGTTTTGGTACACGTGTTTTTGTAAACGAAAACAATGATGAATGCACCTATTTATCCGTATTTTTGTTGTATGCCCGAACAATGTCGCCGATCAGAGCTATTCCACCGATGACGCGAGTTGGACGTCATACGGATACTTTTTTATATATTAGCAGTTTTACGATACCAGTCTGTAGGTATGCATGCATGATTATCCTTGCATCGTCCTGCTATATTTGTAGGCATGGTTGATATATTTACTGGTATGTTTATCATTGTTAAATTCGTAAACGGACTGTTACGGACTTCAAACAATGTGGCACGGTGCTGGGTATTGTTATTCGCCCTATGATCACAAGTGCAGGGCGCAGTTCGAATTAGGTCGCTCACCCCTCCCCTTGGACCGGAACTGAGGGGTGCGGTGCCCAAGAACGGTCGCCACGGGCCACCCTCCGCCGCCAGCGCCGGCCGACTCACGGAAGGCGGCCAGGACCGCAGGGTAGCCAGCCGTCCGTAACCAGCCCGTTAAATCAGATCTGTTCAGCGGACCCGCCGGCGTGACACGGCGGCACGAGTCTGTCCACTCGAGGCCAGGCTGAGCCGACTTGGTCGAGGAGTGGCTGGTCTGCTGGGACTCATTCCCAACCAGGCTGGCATCGTTTCTTGATTTCTGGGTGGTTTCTCCCAATTACTGCGTTGCATATCATGCTGGTTGTGGTTAAGTTCTCAAGCTATTTCACAAGACGTCGTATAAATGCATAGTCAACTTCCCTTATGTTTCTTGTGTTGGCCCATCAAGTGAATTACAATCGTTCTTCTTCAGGCTACTAGAGATCGCATTTTCGTGAAATTGATGGTCTCTTTGATAGGAAGATTGATAATGTAGATACGGCGAATAACGGGTTTTGACATCTTTCTGAAGACTGATGATTTTCTAGACGGATATGCATCCGCAGAGCATCATTCCTGTGTACTTTACAACACAGACGGTGCACGCTGCACAGTGCACGTCCACTCACAGTTAAAGTTTGCGATAGCGCGGCGGATGCACGGCCTCGCTGTCGCCGGTCCGGCCGTCCGGCCGTCCTCAGTCACCCGGTCACGGTTGGAAGGTTCCGGGGTCAGTGGGGAGGGGAAGGGTCCGCCACCAGAGGTCCTCAACCCTCTGCCGGTGTCATCGATATCTGTTGTCACGACGACATTCCTTAGGTCATGGCATCACGGTGCTACCTTCACCGGATCACGGGTGTGCTCCGGTCGGGTCAGAGGTGTCTGCTGTCGTGGGGTCACGGACTCACGAGGTCATAAGGTCACCGTCGGGGAATAGCTGACGTAGCCCGCACACGTGTCACGCTCGGTCGTGAGTTGCTTGTGCAATGCGTGGGAAATCGACAGGTTTTCTCTCCGTGACGTTGTGAAAGGCAACGGTCACGAAGCGACTAACGAGGGAGCCCGGTGAAGAATTGCACGTTTTCATCGTTTGGCTGATATGAATTTGGTCGTTACGGTTGATTGGGTTGACGGGGGTCGCTCATTAGGCCTAAAAGGCCACACCCAATCGATATGGCCGCACCCGGCGCCAATTTTGTAATGTGGTTGCGATGATCGCTCTCAGGGAACTCGAAAGTAAGCGTTTCCGGTTTGTAGTATGTAAACGCGTCATATGCCGAGAGACTGGCGTGCTGCTAATGCGGATGTCAGCAGAACCGTCCGTCTCTGGCCAGACTGTGGCCTTGATGAGCTCATCGTTTTTCAGCGGGTAGGTATGCTGTCCGGTGTTGCTAACCACAGACAAGCTTTGTTTTGAATGGCAGTTGGTTGATACCGGGATGTCGATTTGAAGAACAGCACGATCCTGCTTTGGGGACGTTGCTGGCAGCTTTTTGTGATTTAGGTTGTCAATGTTGTAGATTTGACGTTGAAAGTATAGGAAGGTCCTAGGGACAATGCGCGTTTCTACATTGTTATGCACTATGCAGTTACATAATGCGTGAGGCACTTGAGTTTGTTCCCACGCATTTTTGTTGCAAACGCTTTTGTGCCATGCATGGCTACTTAGTTTTTCCTAGATATGTTAGAACTTAGAAGTTCCAGAAAAGTTCATAATAGCGCTATTCTTTGGGACTTTGCACGGTGCACCTGCATTTCTTGCAAACTACGCCGAAATGATTTTATAATTATACCAAAGCATTGGGAACCTGAATCATGTTATCTATGTTACAAAGATATCAATCAAATCATATTAAGATGAATCATGCTTTATGTTATCTATGACCAAAGTACTTATCAGCGGACTCTGAAAAAGGTATCCAATAAAACATAAAGATGATCTGTCCGGACTGAGCCGTGACTCTTCCGTGACGCATTCCCCACCCACTACCGTGACGTCCACCTACCTCCCGTCACGTCGGTCCGTGACCGTGACGTGACGCCGCTATCGGTCGCTCGGGTATCGATAGCGCTCTATCGGCGGTCGGCCGGACATGTCTGTGGCGGGGCTGCCAGCCGCGAGCCGATGGTCCGATACACCAGCGATGACAGCACCGACCGACCGCGATGTCGTGTGCAACAATCCTGCAATGCTGTGTGAAAGAATGCCTGCCGCTCTGACCGCCGCTTCTCGGCGCTGCGGTGCCGGCGGTGGTCTCGGTGGGACGGGACTGCTCGACCGTGGCCCGGTCACCGCTGCTCCTCTGTGCCAGTGAGCGGCGGCCGGGCCGGGCCGTTCCCACACGGGAGCGATCCGTTCATCTCCCTGAGAAGGTGCGGTGGGCAGCTCCGGCACCTCACACGCTCTGGGTGGGCCCGGGAGAGCGCCCCTTCCCAGACGTCTGGTGACCTTCCTCTCACACAGTGTGAAGGGTTGAAAGATGACGACCTCTGGCGCCTGTGGCTTGGTGTTTTTACGTCACGGTTTCTCTGTTGTGTCATTTACTGCAAAGCGGTTGATTGTAGGTTGGATGCCATGGACCCTGAATTCGTCAAGTAGGTTTCTGGTGGCTGCACTTTTCTTTTGACTGCCAGTCATGCCACCTTGGTGATATGAGAGTTATCAGTGCCCAGCCTTAGTTCAGGGGCGCTGTGGTTAGCCCCACGTGCAGCAAATCGGCTCCATGACACAGTCTACGTCAATGATCCACCAACGGATCACCTCAGTTGCGCCAGGTCATGTCGTTGCTGTGGCGGAGCTGCAGACGTCTGTAGCAGCGGCGCTGTGGTGCGGATCTAACCTCGATTCGCCACACGGCGCGCCGTCTGGCCACATTACGTGCGCCGCGAATGTGTCCCACTGCGGCGAATTCGTCGACAATGCCGCGGCGGGGCGGCGCACAAGTGAGCCGCATTTGTAGCGTCGTCGCGTGACTCGGTCACCGAGCAGATGCGGCCGGGCTGTGACCCGATTGTGACCCGCTGTGACCCAAATTGTGGCCCGCGGCGCCACTTTCTCGAGACGACTGGTCACGCTGTCGCGCAGGGTCGCGGTGACGGAGAGCCGGGAATCCTGCTGGGATGCGTGTCTTCCGCAGGACCTCCAGCGGCGCGAGGTGTGGTTCATGGATAAGTGGGAATGGACAACGATCCGCTTGAACGTTGTGACGGCGCATTAGCGAAGACTGAAAGCTGAAAATTAACGACAGCTTTTTCGTTGCCATGGGCTCGGTAAACGTGAGGCAAGAAGGCAGCTATATCAACCTGCTTTGAGCCATGGATTGGCCACTGACGCTATAATGACATCACGATGACGTAATTTGAGCTGACATCACAACAGACGTCCGCAGTGATTGTTTAGGAGCGGCAGATGGTTACCGATCTATGACGACGAAACGGTCTTCCTGTGATCATTGTCGGTCAGTTGGCTGATAATCAACTATCTTTCGCTTCTGAGCGTCATTGCGACTAATCCTGTGATTGGACTGCGTGACGTCATCTTCTCATTGTGATGAAAGTTGTTGCCGATAAGCCAATACCGAATGCAATGTGAGCTGGTCAGATATGGATGGTAAGGATGCAGTATTTTTTCTGCAAAGGTGCCCTTTTTCCTAAGCGAAACGCCGCCGAGATCCGTCACGGGTACCGTTTAATTTTGTCGATTTCTTGTTATTATTTGTTCATCGGTTCTTAATAAGTCTATGAATCCGAACATGTTCGTTGTCCGAGCATCCGTCATGGCTTTCCAGCTGAACCCCTGTCCAACAGTCCCCTCGCCCGATACAGCGAGGCGAGCCATTAGCATTTCTCCACGCATGTCACCCGCAGCTTTCCCGCCAGCCGCGTCACTCGGGCCCCCAATTAGAGTGCACGCCCTGGCCACCATTTACCAGTGGCTGGCTGACCCCGGTGACCTCAAACCAGCGGGGCGCCGCGCAGAGAGGCCGTCCTCTCTGTCTGTGATGCGACCTGCGCCGCCGACACTCGGCCACCGCTGCCGTCACGTCACGTGACCCACAAACTGACGCGTCGCGGCCGTGACCGACCGGCTGTCGGCGGCGGCACTGCCCACGTGACAGCTGCTGTGAAACGGCTGACTGCGGCAGCGGCGCCGCCGGCGGCTGGCTGTGTTGATGGCTGC